AATACACACATCAAAAGTGTCTAGGGATCAACATATATTTTTGCAATAACTTTTCTCCTGATTGATATTAATTAAAATTTTCTTTAAGGATTCATCAAATAAAGTGTTTTCGTTTGTCACAGTAACGATAAACCAAGTCACCTTTGCATTAATAAAGAAATTTGCCATTTTCCTAATAAAGGGATTTTTGACATTTGAACCACTAACACAAAAGTTCGAAAAAAAGACTGAAATAACAGTTTTCTCTAAAATTTTATTGGGTAACTTAAACAATTAATAATCCGTATTTCTACCGCGAACACTAACAACACAAGAACATCGGTTTGGCATACTCAAAATGAGTTCATCCAAATCACGCTGTGGAATGGCCGCCCATGTTCGTTGCAACAACAAAAAAAGGTCTTCTTGCGACTGGATACCCTCCATATTCGGCAGAGCTCTTCTCTGTAGCATATCCCATGCATGCTCAATCGGGTTCAAGTCTGGCGACTGAGCAGGCCAGGGCAGGACATTGATGTTAGCTGCGGCGAGAGTCTGTCTTACAACTCTTGCGGTGTGCGGTCGTGCATTATCATGCATTAACTGAAATAAGGGACCGATTTGCACTTGTAGAGGAACGATGACGTCTGATACAATCGTCTCAGCATAAATTTGAGCGTTGAGGTTGCCTCTGATCCAAATCAACTCAGTTCTTCCGCCGATCCAAATACCCGCCCATACCATGATGGTTCCACCACTATAAGGATGGACTTCCTGGCAGGATTTTAATCGCTGTTGGCGTCCAGGGGTTCTCCAGTGTCGTATACGTCTTGTATCCGGTCTCATACCAAAACGAGACTCATCAGAAAAGCACACGAAACGCCATTGTTCTTCTGCCCAATTTCTGTGTTCAAGAGCCCATTGATATCGAATCCTACGATTGTGCATTGCTATAGGTGGTACCCGTAGCGGGCTTCGGGAATGAAGGTTCACTTCATGCAAGCGGTTTCTGACTGTTTGGTCGCTAATTAAGTTCCCTGAAGAGTGATGAAGCCTCACGGCTAACATCATGGCGGTTATTGTTGGAGCTCTTCGAGTTAAGATTTGAATGTATCGGTCTTGTCTCCGTGTGGTGCAGCGATACCGTCCTCCATGGCGCTCAGCCACGGTACCAGTGCTTCGGTATCGTGTCCAAAGTCGACTGATAACACTCTGACTTGTATTCAGAGCTAAAGCCACAGTACGTTGCCGGGAACCAGCTTCTATCATTCCCACGGCTCTGAGCATTTCTTCCCTGCTTAAATGACGTCGCCGCTCCATAATAACGTTGGTTTTAATCAGTAGTAGGGAAACAGTAGCACTAATAATGTCTTCAATGCGTTGTATGTTTTTATAGGGAAAATATTGACAGCTGATTTTCATCTTTTACTCGAATTTGATTCACAGTTCCTGATTCAAATTATGAAATGCACCAAAAAGGATCCATATAAATTTATAAAATCATAAATTTATTACAAAGCCACATCTCAATCTCAAGAAATCCGCATAAAAATGCTTGATCCCTAGACACTTTTGATGTGTGTATCTAGCTGCATGCCAAATTTCAGCCCGATCCGTCCAGTGGTTTGGGCTGTGCGTTGATAGATCACTATGTCAGTCAGTCACCTTTGAGTATTATATATATAGATATAACATATCACTCGCGCCTTTGCCCGCCCCGATACAAACCCCTACCCAGTGTAGCCCTATTGTATAAGAACAAAGATGATGTTACATGATATAAACCTCTCGTAAATTCATAATTTATTTATAATATTTGTCTATGTGTCTATTTAACATTCATTATCAGCCTATTAATGTCCCCACTGCTGGGACACAGGCCTTCCCTATGAATAGAATAGGGAAATTGGGTCATGACCCACCACGCGGCCCCAGTGCGGATTGGCGGGTGCTAACGACTGCAGATGCAGCCGGGACCAACGGCTTGACGTGCTTTCCGAAGCACGGAGGAGCTCGAGATAGTTAATGTTTGGACACCCATCCAATGACCGACCACTGCGAAAGTTACTTAACTTCAACGATTGCAGCCGAACGCGCTAACCACTTGCGCCATCGAGCTCCTCCTATTTAACATTACACAATATAAACTTTAGTACCTATATTGAAACTTTTTACAAATAGTATAAAACCTCTTTGTATAAAACTTTTTGTACGCAGTATTTAACTCTCAACTGTTTTTTTTTAATTTAATGGTGTTCAATAAATACAGTCTGTCCTTTTCACACATGTTAAATTACGTATATTTCCATTTCTTTTTTTCTTTGATTTGGGTTTCCCGCGCATTGAACGTTCCGCGCATGCGCTGTAGGGCTTAGTGAAAATTTATGAAAATCGCGTACTCGCGTAGCTTGTAGCTCATTCTACTTTGCGTGTTTTTCCATACAGAAGGAAAACCAATTATTTTGTAAAAATTGATTATGGAGTTCATATTTTTATCAATAAAGTTTATAAATTAATAAAATATAAGTGCTATTAGTTTAAAGTACTATGCGATTCAAGTAAGAATAGGAAAGCCAATAACATCCATCTGTCAATAGGGTATTTGACAGTATTAAAAATAAAGTGCCAATTGTTAGCATCTGTGTTTAGAATGAATATTGGCAGGTATTTTCACTATTTTTACAGAAAAAATATTCATAATTTTACTAAAAACCCACGAAAAAGATAACAGTTTTCTTATCTATTGTCACGTGACCCAAAACGCTTGGGATTGGCGGAGCCTAAAATGACGTCACACGCAAGTAAACGTCCGGTTAAAGTGACATTACATTGTATCGTTTGACGTTTAAATAAAAGTCGTGTGACGTCACACACTAGTAAGACGCCATATTGTCCAGAGAAAAGTTTTCGCGGCAACTTGAAAATGGAGTTTTTGGTTTGGTTATTTTTACTGAAATACACAACAGAATGATGAATATCCACTTTTTACGGACTCCATAAACATTAGTCAATAACGTGAGATCGTTTTCTAAAACTTGTCAAATTCCCTATTGTCGCTTGAAAAGTACGGTTTGCAAAAACATCTTGGAACACTTTTTTTAGCGCTGAGCTAATCTTAGAATAAATACCAAACATTTGCAAACAAAAGATGGGAATAAATCATACATATGAAACGTATAGTACTGGAGTACTAAATGAGTACTGGAAAAACTTTAGTTCTATTATAAATACATGTAATAAAAATACCGTTTTTATTTTAAATGAAGTTGCTGTCTTTCAACCTTCAATAATCGATATTTTATTTTATAGCCGAAAGCATCAGTGACTATGATGACTCCGTCGATAGTACAGAGATGAGCGGACTTAAAGAGCCAGATTCTGATTATGTTTTTTCTTACCTTACTCAATAAATATCATTAAGTCTGATCTTTTTTATCACTTAATCTTGATAAATAAGTTTTATTAAAGAAAAACTTTTTTGCGCACTCTACCTAACTAGTTTGAATTAACAGCTATGACGTCACAATATGGCGCCCAGTCGGTCCTATTCTTAGTTGAATCGCATTATATTGGTTTCTCGTACGATTTTATTTGTTGCAGTACCTAAGCATTGTTTTCAATTTGTAATTACTAAGTACCACTTTTAGTTTGCATTATGTATTTACGACATCATTGGGTGCCATTATATATTTAACAAATAAAGGGATGTTACCATTTATTTATCTATCAATGTCTATAACATTATATATTTACATATATATATATTAGTTTACAATGCCAAACTCATTATTCCGTGTGACCTTTACACGAGGTATAAATGAGATAATGTATAAAGATACGTTAAGAGGCCATGAGAACCATAGTGGCCTATCTTACTTAGGCCAGTATGGCACCTTAAATTTAGATCACAGGCTAAAACCGTAACAGTGATTATGCTGCCATCTAGTCAACACACGTTGTATCACTTTTAGACCATCCTAATATTATATACATACATATCTCTTATCTATTAGACAAATCCGTCCGTCTGTGGTGCTGTTTCAACGGCCAAACCGTAAGAGATAGATAAAGAGAATATTTAAGTTCTAAGTTAACAATAGTCTGACAAGACTACAAACCGGATTTGAGTAACGTAGCACTTCCGGTTTTTGAGAAATCAGGTTTTGGTGAACATTTGGTTCACTGGTTTGCTAGTATTATTATATTAGTTTACAATGCCAAATTCATTCTTCCGTGAGTTCCGTGTGACCTTTCCAGGAGGGATAAATACGATAATATATAAAGATACGATATAGGATATACATATTTTCCGGATATTGTACGATTTTTCATCATCACCTGAAGTTTCTATAATAAAAATTTCGGCTGATACAAATAGGTAAGTATTTTGGATTTCTGGTCTGCGAGCATTCTGCTACGTGAGTGTATACGCCGAACAGCCAAGTGAGGCTGCTCCACATCGTTGTTAGATGATAGGATATGAAGTTCATATGTGGTCCACGTGGAACGGGAGAGTAGATGCCTGAAGATATCCACCGTTATCGGCGATCTTTTATAACTTCGTTTTGTTTCTGTCTTATATTAGTAATCATCATCATCAGTCTATTAATGTCCCCACTGCTGGGGCACAAGGCCTTCCCTATGGATGAAATAGGAGATTCGGTCATGACCCACCACGCGGACCCAGTACTATTGGTGGGTGCTAACGACTGCAGATGCAACCGGGACCAACGGCTTAAAGTGCCTTCCGAAGCATGGAGGAGTGAGAGATAGTAAATTATTGGTCACCCATCCAATGACCGACCACTGCAAAAGTTGCTTAACCTCAATGACCGCAACCGAACGCGCTAACCTCAAAAAGTACATAATTTCGTTCAAGGGCGGATCCAGAGGGGGGTTATGGTGGTCTGGACCCCCCCCCCCCCCTGGGCTGGGTCCATCTGTATTTCACAATCTGTACCCATTGTGACTTGACCAAGACTAAATGACCCCCCCCCCCCCTGGTGTCAAAGCTGGATCCGCCCTTGATTTCGTTAAATAAAACAAAACTCTGTCAAACATATAACATGTATTAAGAAGGTTATAGATATATTTGATTTTATCTCCGGTCCGTTTTGCCGACGCCTCGTTTCCCGGCGAACAGATGTTTCGGCATCTTGGTGCCGATGAACCGGTCGGCCTCGCCTTTGAGGCCCATCTTCTTGGTCTTCTTGGCGATCGCCACGTGGGCCATGTTCTTCGCTTTCCTTTGCATCTGCGTACAAAATATTAATCCGTAATTACCTAGTAATTAATACTTGGTATTATAGTATAACTAAATAGCTTTTTCATGCGAACTCTTAACGATTTGGATAAAATTTGAATACAGAGATAGTTTGGGTCCCGGAAATCATTGGAGCGCTTGAAAATTAGAACCCCCCCCCCCCCTATGCTATGTTATTTTCCGGGACCCAAACTATCTCTATATCCAAATTTCAACTAAATTGGTTCAGTAGCTTCTACAGAGACAATAGATAGGTAGATCGCTGCTTTTTGACGAGAAAATTTCTGTAGGGGTGAAATTCTGTATAACAGAAATCAATCGTTTCTGTTATACAAAAATACATCTATACTATCTGTCGCCCGCGACTTTGTCCGCGTTAAGTAAGGAACAAGTGTAACCCATAATTTTTCTGTGATAAAAAGTATCCTATGTGTCAATCTAGGTAATGAACTATATTTACGAGATTTCATCACAATACGTTTAGCCGTTTAAGCGTCAAAAAGTAACAAATATTATAAATGCGACAGTTTGTATGGATGCGCGGACGATAGAGGAATATATTTTGTACGAGAAATGAAATGAAATATAATTGGCTTATTAGAAAGTTCTTTTTCTACCACCTAGAAAATAGATCGGTTTTCTTCTACAAAGTACCAATGTTAGGTACATTAAGGTCCACTTACAGCAGCTTTGCTAAATTTCGATTTGGTAAAACTGTACTTCCAGAGCCTAAGAGATGATACTCGACTTTTTTTTTGTAGAAAAGGTCTCTATTAACGAATTTTTCTTTCTGGCGCTTCGCCGGCCGCAGCCGCGGCACGCTCGCTTTGCTCGCTCGGCTCGCGCGTTATGGTCACAACACTAACCTAACCTAGTGTGAAGTATCACCGCTTGGACCCTGGAAGTACAGTTTAGCCTTCGATTCTACTAAACAAGATTTAGCCTTTATAAGACTTGAAATAATAGAATTAATCCATTGATTTTTGCTTATATGATCCTTGAACTAGTGATGTGTCTTAAAATGATCGATATTTTTATTAATCATTAAAAATAACTGTTTTTATAAAAAGTTAAAACTTCATGCATATATTTTAAGAAAATTAGAGAAGACTCTTTATATGATGTACTTCAACGCCCTTCAAGTTATATTTGTAACACCCTGTACATACATATATACATATCATACAATACATAGACTACACATATATACGTTTAGTCCAATCAACAACATAACTAGATTTTTAAAGACATTAATAGATTGCGCTCGTGTTATGGATACAGGAAGAGTATTCCATAGTAGGTCGTGTGATGCTCACGTAATAGTTGAACGGTCCCTATGGTACGCGTATAAACATTGATGACTCACAGTGGTATCCTTGAGTCCTTGCTGGTCCCTCGCGGGCCGACTGACGGAGCGGCCGGTGGAGTCGGCCCGCGCCCTCTTGGCGGCCAGCGCGGACTGCGAGCGGGAGCGGGACCGGCTCCGAGCCTGACTGTAATGGGCCGACTGAGTGCTGGACATATCCACGCCTGTGGATGTACATATTATAGTGTAAATGTATTTCAAAGAAGAAATAAATTTACTAGAAAAAATTCCACGCGGACCAGGCAGCGGACGGGACTCGAACCCGCATCCTTCGCTATCCGGGCGAATGCACTGACCATTATGCTACAACGGCCCTATTAGCCGCGTCGAAATTTTCCTAGCCTCAAGCTGCAAGGCAGCGCCATCTCTCCGCATTGTAGGTAACCCACAATGTCAAATGAATACTTTTTCAAGTATTAAACATTTGAAAGAAGAAATAGCAATTATAGTTATGATTTTATTTGTTTTTTTTTGCATTAGTTTAGTGCATTCGCCCGGATAGCGAAGGATGCGGGTTCGAGTCCCGTCCGCTGCCTGGTCCGCGTGTATTTTTTTCTAGTAAACTTTTCTTTAGATTTAAACATCTAGCAGTTAAATGCTTAAAAAAAAAACAAATAAAATCATAAGAAATAAATTGTTTAAAAAATAATAAAAATGTTAAGCGTCATTTACAAAGCTTATTTCCCTTCATTGATTGTTCTGGTGTATTGCGCGTAAGTGGTACAAGGGGTTCTAAATACACCTGCAAGAACCCAAGCCAACCTCACCTTCACGTGGTGCACCCTGCCGACCAACAGACGAGGCTCTGGCAAACCGACCGATGGCGGTATAACCATCCAATGCCGTAGGGGAGGGAAATCTCACTGGTGACGGGCAGCAGCGTCATGAATTAACCTACGTTCTGCGATCGCCAACCCGCGTGCCCAGCGTGGCGATTACGGGCAATACCTCCAATGACCACAGACCACATGCCACGGCCCCCAATTCCCGGCAGCCCCGCTATTCCTGGTCACGGTGGCGGCCACGATAACGGCGGGGCGGGGGATGCTAAGAATCTCCGGGCTACGGTAGGCCACCACAATAGATTGACCCTGGCGACGTACAAAGGACGCACGCTACGGCTTGACTCGCATCTGGCGCAACTCGAGGTGGAACTTGGGAAGATTATGTGGCACATTTTAGGGTTAAGTGAAGTCCGAAGAGAGGGGGAGGACACCATAACCCTCGAATCGGGCCACCTAATGTACTTCCGCGGGGGAAACCAACAGTCTCAAGGTGGCGTTGGGTCTTTGGTAAATAAGTCCCTTGCCGATAACGTTGTAGAAATGTCCAGCGTGTCGAACAGGGTAGTGTACCTTATTATAAAGCTCACCGAGAGGTATAGCCTCAAGGTGGTGCAAGTGTACGCACCGACCTCGACACACTCGGACAACGAAGTGGAGGATATGTTCGATGATATATCGAGGGCCCTCCACTCCACTACTAAGACCCACTACAACGTTGTTATGGGGGACTTCAACGCTAAAGTGGAAGTACAGAATGGCAGCGAATCGGTAGTAGGATCCCATGGATTTGGAAGCAGAAATCATAGGGGGCAAATGCTCGTCAACTTCCTCGAACGGGAAGGACTCTTCTTGATGAACTCGTTCTTCAAGAACAGTCCCAAAGGAAGTGGACGTGGCAAAGCCCCGACACTGACTAAAAATGAGATCGATTTCATCATGACAGAAAAGAGGTATATATTCAGAGACGTCTCCGTGATCAATAGGTTCAATACCGGTAGTGATGACCGACTCGTCCGGGGCTCTCTGAATATCAACTTTAAGGCCGAGCGCGTCCGATTGATGAAATCCAGGCTCCGACCTATTATACATATTTTTGAACAACTTCGAGAGCGGCACCGTGTATTGCAATCGGTTCCGGTAGTACATGTTCATTGAACATCTTGGTTTTATCCAAGTTCATCCGTAGGCCGATGCGTATAGAAGACTCAACCAGGTCATTCAGCATTTTTTGTAGGTCCTGCAGGGTTTCTGCCATGATGACGATGTCGTCTGCAAATCGCAAGTGAAAGATGCGTTCGCCATTGATGTTGTGGCATCAATGAACATGTACTACCGGAACCGATTGCAATACACGGTGCCACTCTCGAAGTTGTTCAAAAATATGTATACCTCGGGCAGACATTGCAGTTAGGTAGAAACAACTTTGAGGACGAGGTGAATAGAAGAATTCAGCTGGGTTGGGCAGCATTTGGGAAGCTACGTCAAGTAATGACATCGTCGATCCCACAGTGCCTAAAGACGAAAGTCTTCAATCAGTGCGTCCTACCTGTAATGACATACGGAGCCGAAACGTGGCCACTGACGGTACGGCTGGTCCATAAGTTCAAAGTCGCTCAGCGCGCTATGGAAAGGGCTATGCTCGGCGTTTCTCTGAAGGATCGCATCAGAAATGAGGTAATCCGACAGAGAACCAGAGTCATCGACATAGCCCACCGGATTAGCAAGTTGAAGTGGCAGTGGGCTGGCCATATTTGCCGAAGAACCGATAACCGTTGGGGTAGACGAGTTCTGGAGTGGAGGCCGCGTCTAGGCAAACGTAGTGTAGGACGTCCTCAGGCACGATGGAGTGACGATTTGCGCAAGGTGGCTGGCAGGAGCTGGATGCGAGTAGCCCAAGATCGATCTAAGTGGCGTGCAATTGGAGAGGTCTATGTCCAGCAGTGGACTAGGATAGGCTGTTGATGATGATGATGATTGATGATTGCGCGTAGGTGGACGCTTACACCACTCTAATATCCCTTATGCTCGAAAGCATCAAGCTAAATGTGTATGTTACTCTAAATCATTTACTATTTAAGTTATCACATTGTTTTTGTGGCATTTCTCAGTTTTACACTTGTTAGACTGACTGTAGTGCGCCGACTGAGTGCTGGACATGTCCACGCCTGTGGGTGTATATACAGTGTAAACTCTATATGACGACACTAAAGGGACTGTACATTTTATGGCGTTATAGAGAGTTGTCGCTATATGGAAAGAAGAAAAATCTGAATTATGAAAAGAAAAAGTTCATTTCAAGCTAGTAGTTATGTACATAAAAAATAATCTTATTTGAACGCTATTACGTATATTCTGTTATTTTAGTAATTTTGTTGTATTATATTTTTTTTGTCATGGTCAACAACAGTCTACGTTCTTATGTTTACATATTGCGATTGCACGAATCGCAATATGTAAACATAAGAACGAATTTCTTAGAAAGTTTGGTTTGCATGATGCCGTCAGTCGAGTTAATTACGAGCTAGGATAATAAAGCGACAAAAGAACGTACACAGCTGCACGATTTTCACAAAAATTTTGGAAACTTAAAAGGTACTTTTTATTACTTAGTTGTTGACGTTATTGAGAGCGGTTGTAATGCTATATGGAGTGTATCATTGTATGGAAAACAAACTAAACCAACCAAAGACGAGTGATTTCAACGCTTTAGAGAGTTTGTCGTTAAATCGAGTGACGTTGTTCCATGTAACGTCACTCGATTTAACGACAAACTCGGTTTTTGGCGGGATTTCATCGAGTGTGATTGGCGTCTTATTTTATTTATTCTTAAATTCGCTCATATTGGATATTGTGAAATAAAATTGGTGTGATTTTGTGTTACAACGTCTGCGTAACTGAAAAATTAGTGGAATCGTCAAAACATACGCTATTCCGGTCAAGTGGACGTGAGAATTTTATTGTAGTATTGACTACCTCACAGAAGCTTATCGAAAAAGCCAACTCGATACATTTCGTGCCAAACACTCCAAGAAACATTAGAATGCGTCACACCGACATTCTAAAATAAAAAGAAAAAAAAATATATTTTAACTAAAGACTAGGCTGTATGGGCATTGTTCCCCTTGCCTTCCCTGAAAAGGGAGAACTTAACCAAAAAAAAAAATAACGTTAAACTCCCCTAAAGCGTCGAAATCACTCGTCTTTGGTTTTGGTTTTCTGTACAATGATACAATCCATATTGCATAATACCCACACTCAATAACGACAACAATTAATTGAGTAAAATCTTAAGGGCTAGCTAGACTGAAACAAGTCCACATGTATTTTTTCCCCTTTTTCCTTGGAGGCAAATTGTGATGTTGGAACTTGAATATTTGGCTATTAATTTGTTTCTTAAAAACAGTGATGTTCACACACTTAATACAAGAAACAAAAATAAACTAACTTTACCTGCTACAAGGCTTCACAAAATTAATAATTCATTTAAAGGTCTTTATGTTCGCTTTTACAATAAAGTCCCAAGCAATATCCAAGAGTTAACCATAAATAAATTCAAAGATAGTAGAAAAAAGCTCTTATTAAAAAGTGTCTCATTGTATTACAGACAAAATTGCTTGGGTTCGAACTGTTCCAATCATTCCAACAGGTTTTCTATATTAAATAAATCATGACTGTATTGACGTTGTAACAACATAATGATTTGTAAATGTTGTTACATTATACTTGTCTTTTAATGTTGTGGAGTTTTTTTCGCTCGTTTTTCTCCGCATTTAAAAAATATGTCCAATAACGAGTAATAGGAAAAAAAATTTGAATGATTTAAAAGAGTTATACTATACATCCAATTTGAATAAAGATATGTCGGAGGATGTGACGAGTAGAGTTGATTGTTGAATACCAAGCGTGAAAAGGCTATTGTTTACACTTTAAATAATTTTATAAAATTTTAATTTAATTTGATTTAAATTAATTACAATTGAATAAAAGTCTCTTATAAATCATCTTATGTCGCGTCCAATCAGAGCAGAGCACGTGCCTCGAGTGGGGTCGAGGCGCCATCTTGATTTTCACAGAAGGGAGGTAGTTTTTGCGGGTATTTAAAGGCGAGGAACTCATTACTAGAAAGGTGATACGGTAGTTCAGTGAAGTCAGATTGGTACCTTGAACCCGCTGCTCGGTTGTTACGTTATTTAAGTGTCCTTAGTGTAAAGTAAAGTGTGTGTGAAACATTTTTATTTTGTTTTTGTTAAAAGAACGTAATTAAAATTGTACGGACAGTGATTGAGAGTGATTGTTTAGTTTCGTGCCTGTATCAAGCCCCAATGACGCCCACTAAGCCCGTGAACGCTAATTATTGTTGAAGTTATACTTCTTTAGGCGCGTTATGAAAAAATGATGAGAGTGAAATTTGAAAATGCGCGCGCATCACTGTAACACAAAATTTTAACAGCATGAAGTTGGTCGCTCATGCGTTACTTTTGTGTTTACCGCACATTAAGAAAATCTACCAACAAAATAGAAATAGAATCTCTATTTAGTGGGTGCTAACGACTGCATTGTGAAGGCCTATCAAAAGTATTTATTAATCTGGAACAACGGAACCAAAGCGCGATTCAGGAGACTACAGCGCCATCTCTTGACCATTGGTGTAGTAGAACCAAAAACCACATCTTTATTTTTTGTAATAAAGTAACAGTTATAGCTATTCATATTTATAATATTTATCCACATGTTTCTAGTTTGTATATTCGGAATACGTGTTTGAGTTTCATACAAGTGCAAATCACATATGTTCTAATAAATTATATTCAGTAGCGATTTTAATTGAATATTTTGATTATTTATTTATTTTTTCAAATTAAAACTGAACTTTATTGACTGTGTCCTTTTCCAGACTTTTTATTAATTTATTGTAATTAATTATTTGCATGCAATTAAAAACTAATTTTAAACGATGCCAAAGAAGGATAACTTCTCACGCGCCTACATAAGTACACGCACCCATTTTTTTTTTATTTTATTTATTTATTGAATTTCACATTACTATAAATAATAATAATACATTTAGCCAGTGCTACAAAAACCTGTGTAAGTTTTACCGAGCACTGGGATTCGTCATCTTTTAGATCTTTTTTTTTCGCATCTGCATCTACCCTCTTTCTACGAGTTGTCGGCGGTCGCCCCTAACAGAGCAATGAGTTTATTCACACGGGCGGGTTCCCCATCAGATTTAACTAAATACTGTTACTCTATTATGGTGTTGAAAAACATTAAATTTTACTATATTAAATACTAGTGGCCCGCCCTTGTTTAGCTTCGGTGTAGAGCTGTAGTGTAGACTATAGTTTTTGTACACAATGAATTTATTTATTTAATTCTTTTTCTATGATTCTTTTTTATTGAATAGGTAATAATGATAACTTTTTTAAATTAGGGATGAGTGAGAGTATTATAAACGTAAAAATATAACCCGAATGCTCCGAACTGCTTAGCTATCAGGAGTTACACGTGTTATTGTGAGTCAAGCATAAAAGATAGACATATGCTGTTGCGGGATATTTTTTAGACAATTTTATGTAGAATATTTCCGTCTTATATGATTTATATGTAACTTTAACCATTAAGGCTGCACACGCAACGAAAGCTTAAAAAATGGAGTAATTTCTCCCGTTTTCCCAAAATTTCCCTTCACTACTCTGCTCTTTTGGATTGTAGCGTAATGAAAAGTATACTATAACCTGCCCAGGAGTATGAAGAATAATTGTACCAAGTTTCGTTAAAATCCGTCGAGTAGTTTTTGTTTCTATGAGGAACATACATACAGACAGACAGACAGACAGATAGACAAAAAATTTACTGATTGCATTTTTGGCATCAGTATCGATCACTAATCACCCCCTGATAGTTATTTTGAAAATATATTTCATGTACAGAATTGACCTCTCTACAGATTTATTATAAGTATAGATGTTATTCTTGATTTAATAACTGTGAGCAATAATATCCTTTTAGTACGTTCTTAATATTAATTTCACTAATTTCTTTTTTTACATATATTGGTAATTCGTTAATTAACTTGGGTATCTGAAACTGTAAATAATTGCCTACCATAAAGATTATTGTATCTTGGGATATAGAATGTAAGTGCTGATGCACTACGGGTTTGCTTACTGTGCTGCTTTATAATACGAAAGTTTTCATTAAAAAAGTTTACTGAGATCAGATTAGATTTGACTTGATCGTGTACAGGCAAAACGTTACAGTGGTAGAAGAGTTCATTTATATTGACATTTTAATGACAAAGTGAATAGCCGCTCTCCAACAGATATATTGATTAAAACTAGTTTTTACGGGTTAATGCACGAAACTTTATTAAAACTTTATTAAGACTTGAAAGTCTTTCGAAGGTAGCTCGACAATTTTAAATAAAAAAATATTATTCTGACGATGCAGACCTGAAAAGGCTGCGAAACGTCAATAAATAAATAAAGTTTCGTGCATTAACCCGTAAAAACTAGTTTTATTTAATGAGTGATGTGCGTAAAAACCTAAGAAACAAATAGATATATTGATTATTGATTTCTAATTTGGGAGACTCGTGTCATGCGTGAGCAAGTCAAGTAGTGACAAAATATTCTGAACACCTTCCTAAGATAGGTATTAGAATGATCGGCATTGCCGAATAGTCGGCCGACTAGTCGGAAATTCGTATACCGATTAGTCGACTAGTCGGTTAGTCGGCAAATATTATAGTCGGCCCAACTCTAGAGGATAGTATGATATGTATAAAAAAACCGAGTGTGCTTTTACAATACAATGAAAGGTATTTACAATACAAAAGTAGGACTTATGACTCTAGCTACGAGGAAAGGTGTCGTAGACATCACATCCTGCCCCTGAATGAGCGAAGAAAAATAGCAGATGTATTTCTACTGGCAAAAATCGCTCAAAGTCTCATTGACTCGCCGGACGCACTAACAAAAATAGGTATAAAAATCCCTAACAAAACCGTAAGGCGATTTGTACATTTGATGTTCCCCAATGTGGTACTAATTACAGACAAAACTCTTTTTTCGTAAGGTCTGCTAAAGAAACTAACAAATTAGTAAGTTTCCGTCAACTTGACTTATTTATAACTAAACCACAAATACTTAAAAATATCTTAGTCAGTTCTTGGTTTGCTGATTCTCAAACTGCCTAGCTTAATTAATGCATGCTTTAAGCGTCGCTTGCTGTTATATCTCAATTATCTCTAGTCTTATTACTTTCCTGTATTTTTCACTTGGCACTGCTTGTATGGTTTCAGCGACGAGCTTTGTATTGTTAGTCATATGCGAAAACGTGTTAATGGTGTCTAGATTTACATTTAGTTATAATTGCTGTTAAAAAAAACACTGTACGTTTTCCGAATAAAATAAAATAAAAATAAAATTATGACCACACGACTGAAGTGAAACTTCTTTAGCTCTATTTGTGTATATATACAGGGTGTTACAAAAATACAAATAAAGCTTGAAGGGCGTTAAAGTACATCATATAAAGAGTCTTCTCTAATTTTCTTAAAATATTTGTTGCATGAAGTTTTAACTTTTTATAAAAACAGTTATTTTTGATGTTTCTCTGAACTAGTGACGTGTCTTAAAATAATCGATATTTTTATTAATCATTATGATGTACTTCAACGCCCTTCAAGGTTTATTTGTATTTTTGTAACATCCTGTATATATAATTATATATATTATATATATATCTTTATATATATAATTCTTCTGTGAGTGTGTATGTCACTGAACTTCTCTTAAACGACTGGACCGATTTTGATGAAATTTTTTGTGTGTGTTCAAGGGGATCTGAGAATGGTTTAGATTCACAATTTTGTCCGCTGGACAACCCCTATTTTTTTAGGGCGGTACGAAGTTCGCTGGGTCAGATAGTATATATATATATTGTACACACATATACATGTATGTACATAAACATATTTTATTTGCTAGCTATAAGAGAAAGAGAGAAAGAAAATGTGCGCGCGCACTGCTCTCTCTTGCTTATATCCCCCACTCAACTGCCGTTCGCCTCGCCCGATCACACTTTTCGTAACGCGTTCGCCAGCCTACTCCCCAAGTCAAGCGTTCGTAAAGAAGTTTCATTTCAATAAAGTATAGTATAGTGATATCATCATCATCATCATCAGCCTATTAATGTCCCCACTGCTGGGGCACAGGCCTTCCCTAAGGATGGAATAGAGAGATTGGGCCATGACCCACCACGCAATTGGTCAGTGCAGTCGCCCGGATTGCGAAAAGTGCGGGTTCGAGTCCCGTCTGCTGCCTGGTCCGCGTGGATTTTTTTCTAGTTATATTTTCTTTAGATTTAAACATCAAGCAGTCAAATGCTTTAAAATAAATAAAAACATAACTATAATTGCTATTCCTTCTTTCAAATGTTTAATACTTGAAAAAGTATTCATTTGACATTGTGGGTTATCTACATAGCGAAGAGATGGCGCTGCCTTGCAGCTTAAGGCTAGGAAAATTTAGACGCGGCCATCAGGGCCGTGGTATCATAATTGGTCAGTGCATTCGTTACATGCTTTAAAATAAAATAAAATATAACTATAGCGATATATTTACCCAGTTTCTCCATCTCCTCCCTCAATTTCCCCGTAGATCGATCTTTGACGCGCGCGCGGCTTGTTCTTGGCATCACAGGTTTGGTGGATTGCTTCGTGAGACGCGACTCATCTTTGAGTATGGCCTTCTTGTTTCTAAACATTGAATAAGAAAATTATAATTTAAACTAACTAATGTCAATTTCATTAATAAAGTTTCATGGCTTACGCAATCGAATGCCTTTGATAGTTCGCAAAATATACCAATAGCATCGTGCTTGTCCTCTCAGATGTCAAAAATACGTTTGAAAAGTGCAATTCCAGCGTCTGCAGTACATTTGCCTGTATTAAAACCAAATTGTTTTGAGTAAAATAAAGTATTTGTTGAAAAGTGTACAAATTTTTGAAGTTATACTTCTTTAGGCGCGTTATGAAAAAATGATGAGAGTGAAATTTTAAGATGCGCGCGCATCACTGTAACATAAAAATTAACAGCATGTAATATTACTAGCTGTCCCAGCAAACTTCGTACCGCCATAAAAAAATAGGAGTTGGTGGTAGAAGGGTGAAAATTTAGGGTTGTATGTATTTACTAATGCTGTATCATAAAAAAAAATAAAAAAAAACTAAAATTAAAAAAAAAATGGTTGGATTACCCTTAACATTTAGGGGGATGAAAAATAGATGTTGTCCGATTCTCAGACCTACCCAATATGCACACAAAATTTCATGAGAATCGGGAAAGCCGTTTCGGAGGAGTTTAACCACAAACACCGCGACACGAGAATTTTGTATATTAGATAAAGCTAAAGTATGTTTGTTTTCAATTAGTAACTATAAATAAATATTTCCAACACTCACACCAATTAGCCTAGCCCCAAAGTAAGCACTGTAAAGGCTTGTGTTATGGGATACTAGGGTAACGGATAGAATACATATACTGTACATATATAAGTATATTTATATAGAAATACATATTAAACATCCATGACTGGAGTACAAATGCTCGTATTCATCACACAAACATCTGCCCCCACCGGGAATCGAACCCGGGACCTCTCGAATCGGCGACACCATGAAACCCGGCGTACAAACCACTCGGCCACGGAGGTCGTCAAGTTCACTATATTGTGAAAACCTTTGATTCAATAGGGTATTTGACAGTATCAAAAATAAAGTGCCAATTGTTAGCATCTGTCTTTAGAATGAATATTGGCAGGGGATTTTACTATTTTTACAGAAAAAAATTTCATAATTTTACTAAAAACCCACGATAAAGTTATCTTTAAAAAAAATCTAAAATTAGTAACCGTAAGAATGACCATAAAAGTAAGAAAACTATTATTAGTTTTCTTGTCTATTGTCACGTGACTCAAAACGCTTTGGATTGGTGGAGCCTAAAATGACGTCACACGCAAGTAAACTTCCGGTTAAAGTGACATTTGATTGTATGGTTTGACGTTTTAATGACAGTCGTGTGACGTCACATACCAGTGAGCCGCCATATTGTCCAGAGATACGGTTTCCGCGGCAACTTGAAAATAGAGTTTTTGAATTAGTTTTTTTTTAACGAAATACACAATATAATGATGAATATCCACTTTTTATTGACTCTATAAACATTAGTAAATAACGTGAGAACGTTTTCTAAAACTTGTCAAATACCCTATTTATATAAAAAAAACAGTTGAGTTGTGGGGCATGTCAACATACGTTATCTCTTATCTATTAGACAAGTCCGTCCGTCCGTCCGTGGTGCTGTTTCAGCGGCCAAACCGTAAGAGATAGATAAAGAGAATGTTTAAGTTATAAGTTGAGAATAGTCTGATAAGACTACAAAACGGATGTGAGTAACGTAGCACTTCCGGTTTTCGAGAAATCACGTGATTTCTATTTCAAACGAAACCACACAAAATCTCCGAAGTTCTCAATTAATTAAATACATTTTTTTTTTTGGTGAACATTTGGTTCACTGGTTTGCTAGTTAAATCTATTGATTGATTGATTGATTGATAGCTGTTATTACCCTTTAGCTTTAACAAATGTGAATATTTCCAGACCTAATGAAGTGTGCTAAAGTTATTCCTCTTTTTAAGGCTGGTGACAAATCTGATCCCGCCAATTTTAGACCAATATCTATTTAGTCATCGTTCAGTAAAGTATTTGAAAAAAAAATATGTACACTTTTCAACAAATACTTTATTTTACTCAAAACAATTTGGTTTTACTACAGGCAAATGTACTAAAGACGCTGGAATTGCACTTTTCAAACGTATTTTTGACATCTGAGAGGACAAGTACGATGCTATTGGTATATTTTGCGAACTATCAAAGGCATTCTATTGCGTAAGCCATGAAGCTTTATTAAAGAAATTGAAGCATTATGGTCTCTCAATATGTCATTATGTCTGGTACATCTTTCTGCAAGAACTCAAAAGTATCAATGAAGCAGAGTCTGCAGAAGTGTCCGTCGCTATGGGTGTGCCCCAAGGATCAATATTAGGCCCATTGCTTTTCGTTATCTACATATATGACCTTCCTCACTTTACCAAGAATTTATGTGAGACAGTTTTCTCTTCTCTTTGGTGTTTAGAGTTAAACGAGATAAAGAAATTATGAGAAAGTACATTGTGCTCTCTCTAAAATTGTTTAAAGTAAATAATTTAAAATTAAACTCGAATAAAACCAAATTTAAAATTCACCCTCCCTAATATAAGAAGTGCCAATATTAATATAAATTTAAAAAAAGGAACCAGTTGCTTTAGCAGATTCTACAAAGTTTCTGGCCATCACTTTAGATTTTTTATTCACTTTATATCTCACCGTATCTGACGGGCTAGTTCCTTGATCTCCATCATAGTCTCGTCGAGCTCAATCTTGGGAACAGCATACAATCCACCAGCTTCACGCAACTCCTCGTCTCTCTCCAACTGAGCCAGTTTCTGGAACAACAATTATTGTAAAGAAAATTTTACTAGAAAAGAATCCACGCAGACCAGGCAGCGGACGGGACTCGAACCCGCACCCTTCGCTATCCAGGCGAATGCACTTGACCATTATGCTACCGCGGCCCTGACGGCCTTATCGAAATTTTCCCTAGCCTTACTTAGGCTGCAAGGCAGCGCCATCTCTTCGCGTTGTAGGGAACCCACAATGTCAAATGAATACCTTTACAAGTATTAAGCATTTTGAAAGAAGTAATAGCAATTAAAGTTATATTTTCGGATTTTTTAAGCATTAGCTCTGCTAGATGGGTTCGAGTCCCGTGTTTTGGTAAAAAAGATTATGATTATAATATATGCATGGGCAAACAGGACTGGGTATGTTTACTTATAAAAAACAGAGTGAAAGGAAAAAGAAAGGATTTTGTCTCTTTCTAATGAGACCATGTAAATGTTTAGTAAGGAAGTTCGTTTCCCTTTGTATGTATACATTTGAGGAGGTTAGGAACAAAAAGTGTCATTTACAGTATTTAACTTTTTGAGAAATAGGGTATTTGACAAGTTTTAGGCAACAATCTCACGTTATTGACTAATGTTTATGGAGTCCGTAAAAAGTGGATATTCATCATTCTGTTGTGTATTTCAGTAAAAATAACCAAATCAAAAACTCCATTTTCAAGTTGCCGCGAAAACGGTTCTCTGGACAATATGGCGTCTTACTAGTGTGTGACGTCACACGATTGTAATTAGAACGCCAAACGATACAATGTAATGTCACTTTAAGCGGAAGTTTACTTGCGTGTGACGTCATTTTAGGCTCCGCCAATCAAAAGCGTTTTGGATCACGTGACAATAGATAACAAAACCATTAGGTTTTTCGTGGGTTTTTAGTAAAATTATGAATATTTTTTTTTTGTAAAAATAGTAAATAGCCAATATTCATTCTAAACACAGATGCTAACAATTGGCACTTTATTTTTAATACTGTCAAATACCCTATTGAGAAAATAATTATTCAAGTTGTTCTTAGCAATCTTTATTATTTTTTATTAACCATTTATGTGTCAATTATTGTATAAAAGGACAATGGGCAAAACGCACCCAGGCCCGCCAACAATGTAATTAGTATGAATCGATAGATCTATGAAAAACTAGCCTTTTTTATTATGACACCGAAAATAAATATCCTGGGAGTCAAAAGATATGACATCGTAAAAAATATCCTGGTAGTCAATAGATATGACACATGGTCATATTCAAGTAGCTCAATAAATTCATTTTGTATTATTAGTAATCATAATAATATGCCATATCGTACTATACAACAAGATATACGACAAAGCCTGTCGACCATCCTGCGCTTGCTCTTACTGAGACATTTTAAAACGGTTTACGGATGCTGAAGGACTTGCAGTTGCAAATAGTCGACTCGTCTTACTTCGTTGTGATTGTGCGCTCCCTGCTACTTGATTGATTTTATTAGTTCGTTAAAGTGCTTGGACATATTTAACTTAAAATAACTAAAGACCCCCGGGATGGAATTTGATGCGCTTTGGCACAGATGATCTCGACTATAATACCTTTCACACAAATGTAGTTTAAGCCGTGGCGGACGTGGGTGCAGCGTCCATACATTTTTGCCCAATGTCCTTTAATGTATTATAAGGTTATCTTGCTGGTTTTTGAAACTTTGATAAAATAGCTTGTAAATGTCACTATTTGATTCAATGATTTTGTAAAATATCACCTTTTAAAACTCACTGTCTAAAAAATGTTACCTTATGAAACATTCAGTATGAAAATAAAAATAGATTCACACAAAACATTTTTATTTCTTACACATGTAATTCTCCACAATCAGGTTCCCAGTTTGAACCGAAAAGATTTCAAACGTATTTCTTAAGAATATGTCACATTTTGAATTCAAGTCTTCATAATCAGTCTGATTAAATAAAAATGTAACTTTTTGTTCCTTTTTTAACTTTTTCAATGAAACTAGTCACTTTTTTAACAAAATCTTGGAAGTTACAGATAGAATTTAACATTTTGAGCCGATTAAAATAAAAAAAATGAGCGAGCCTTACAGTAGTCGCGTATGATGTGTAACATTTGAAACCTCACCTTATATTAGTAAAAAAAGAAATAAAACCTACTACAATAGGAATAAGCCATTTCAACATTATGTTCTTAAATCAAATCAAATAGCGTGCGCTTTCGCAACTTCCTGTTACACAATTCCGTCCCATTTCACGACATCACTCCCACAAATTGCAGGAAAGCGAGAGGAGAGATCAAAAACCGATTGGAGCTAAATCATCATCATCATCATCATCTGCCTATTATTGCCCCTACTGCTGGGGCACAGGCCTTCCCTATGGATGGAATAGGGAGATTGGGCCATGACCCACCACGCGGGCCCAGTGCGAATTGGTGAGTGCTAACGACTGCAGATGCAGCCGGGACCAACGGCTTAACGTGCCTTCCGAAGCACGGAGGAGGGAGAGATAGTAAATTTATGGTCACCCATCCAAAGACCGACCACTGCGAAAGTTGCTTAACTTCAACGATCGAGCTCCTCCAGGAGCTAAATTCGTAAATGATTTTTTTTGTTCCTGACCTCCTCATATGATTAAGTGTAACTTACATCGAATATCTCCGGGTCGATGTAGTCGGCAATGTTGTGTCCCTCCCAGAATTCCGGAATCGGATCATGGCGCTCTTCCTCCGCTATCTCCGCGTAGTTCTTCTGCAAATCTAGAAGAAGAGAGAAGAGCAGTGTTGTTAATAATCTAAAATTCTCGTGTCACGCTGTGCGTAATTGAACTACTCCGAAACGGCTCGATCGATTTTCGTAAAATTTTATATATGCATATTCAGTAGATCTGAGAATCGGACAACATTTACTTTAAATCCCCCTAAATGTTACGGATCCACCGTTAAATTTTTTTTTTGCTCAATTTTTTTTTTGGACTAATTTTTTTTTTGGGCAAAAATTTTTGTTTTTATTTTTTTTATGATACATCATACAAAAATACATACAGCCCTAAATTTTCACCCTTCTACCACCAACCCTTATTTTTGATGGCGGTACGAAGTTCGCTGGGACAGCTAGTAATAATATTCATATTCATTTATTGCATTCTTGCTGTCTACAAATCTATATATATAAAAATGAAACCCGTTTTCCGTTGTCACGACATAACATGAAAACGGCTTACCGATTTGGCTGATTTTTTTTTTGTAGTTTTCTAATACTCTGTACAAGGTACTTACGGAAAAAAATATAAAGAAAATCTCTCAGAAAGATTGAAAAATATAACGTAACGAATGTCAACGTCATTCAATTTAAAACAAAAAATCTGTGGTAATCTGTGACAACACATCCATAACCGCGCTAACAATGAATAGGTACTCATACATAAGATAGGTCAGCTATACAAAATAAAGTAGTGCATCAAAGCTACGCTAAGGCGGTACGAAGTTCGCCGGGTCAGCTAGTATATAATAATAATGTTTATTTATTCTCACCACAATACAAATATTGTGGTACAGACATAAAAAATCAATATCGTTTATTCGGTCTAGGCTGTTACAAGCTCATGTGAAAGTCAAACGCTACGCCATCGGTTCGTAAATCTACGGCGAGAGACCTTGTACTGAGAAGAACCGGCAAGAAAATCAGCTTTTCTTCTCCCTGTATTATGTACAGAGTCGTAAAATTGAAAAATGACTTCAATATGAGATAACTCATGAAGTCACTTTCCATTACAAATGTAAAAGATATAAAAGTTATGACTGAAAAATTTAAATACATAATATAAAAAACAAAAGTGTCCTACTGTTTAAGCATAAAACAGGTTGTTTGTATATTTACAAAAGATTTATTTACAGTAATATATTGTGGAGCGACTGGTGTCCAAGCTGGGCAGTACACTGCCTGTATATCAATGTACTATCAATGACTACCATGTCCTACGACATTGAGGCACTTAAAGGCACTTAAATGTAGTTATATTATATTTAAATGACTCAATTAATAAACTTAAATATATATAAGTATATATTAATATATACTTAAAGAGTAATATTTTTAAAGAAAATATACTAGAAAAATTTCCACGCGGACCAGGCAGCACACTGTTTGATCTGTTGCAGATTGTTTGGTAGTCCAACTTATCTTGCTGGTGCACCCTTCCCGCTCTGCCACCCCTGACCTCCAAAAAAACTCATCGAGCACATAATAGTCTCCCAACTCCAGTTCAATCTCCCTCTCCAGTCTCCAGCTCCCGTTTTATAAATTAAAAACAACAATAATATTAAAAACAACTGGCTTATATATCAATGACTACCATGTGCCACTACATTGTTTGGTAGCCCAACTTATCTTGCTGGTGCACCCTTCCCGCTCTGCCACCCCAAACCTACAAAATGCCGAGCACGTACCGGTTAGAAGGCAACTGCCTTCTATCAATGACTATAATCTACTACAACATTGTTTGGGAGCCCAACTTATTATCTAGATGATGCACCCTTCCCGCTCTGCCACCCCCAACCTACAAAACACCGAGCACGTACCGGATAGAAGACAACTGCTTCCTATCAATGACTATAATTTCCTACTACATTGTTTGGGAGCCCAACTTATTATCTTGATGATGCACCTTTCCCGCTCTGCCACCCCCAAGCTACAAAACAGCTGATCAATAACTGTAACTTCCTACTACATTGTTTGGGAGCCCAACTTATTATCTTGATGATGCACCTTTCCCGCTCTGCCACCCCCAAGCTACAAAACAGCTGATCAATAACTGTAACTTCCTACTACATTGTTTGGGAGCCCAACTTATTATCTTGATGGTGCACCCTTCCCGCTCTGCCACCCCCAACCTACAAAAAACCGAGCACATACCGGATAGAAGACAACTACCTTCTATCAATGACTAGAATTTCCTACTACATTGTTTGGGAGCCCAACTTCTTGTCTTGATGATGCACCCTTCCCGCTCTGCCACCCCCAACCTACAAAACACCGAGCACGTACCGGATAGAAGACAACTGCTTCCTATCAATGACTATAATTTCCTACTACATTGTTTGGGAGCCCAACTTATTATCTTGATGATGCACCTTTCCCGCTCTGCCACCCCCAACTTACAAAACAGCTGATCTATGACTATAACATCCTACTGCATTGTTTGGTAGTCCAACTTATCTTGATGCTGCACCCTTCCCGCTCTGCCACCCCCAAGCTACAAAACAGCTGACCAATGACTATAGTTTCCTACTACATTGTTTGGGAGCCCAACTTCTTATCTTGATGATGCACCCTTCCCGCTCTGCCACCCCCGACCTACAAAACAGCTGACCAATGACTATAATTACCTACTACATTGTTTGGGAGCCCAACTTCTTATCTTGATGATGCACCCTTCCCGCTCTGCCACCCCCGACCTACAAAACAGCTGACCAATGACTATAATTACCTACTACATTGTTTGGGAGCCCAACTTCTTATCTTGATGATGCACCCTTCCCGCTCTGCCACCCCCAACCTACAAAACAGCTGACCAATGACTATAATTTCCTACTACATTGTTTGGGAGCCCAACTTCTTATCTTGATGATGCACCCTTCCCGCTCTGCCACCCCCAAGCTACAAAACAGCTGACCAATGACTATAATTACCTACTACATTGTTTGGGAGCCCAACTTATTATCTTGATGATGCACCCTTCCCGCTCTGCCACCCCCAACCTACAAAAAAACTCACCGAGCACATAATCGTCTCCCATCTCCAGTTCAATCTCCCTCTCCAGCTTCCGTTTCCTGTTCTCCTTCTCTTGCGCTTGTTGTTTCTTCATCAATACGTTGGCAGGTATGACGGGCGGACGGATTTTAGCATCGCGAGGAGTTGGAACAGCCACGTGGAGACGGTTTAAGATACCGTCCACCTGTTGGGGGATAAAAGTCAACAGTCAAAATATCTATTCAAATAGGGGTGATGACGGGGTACAGTAAACGAAATTCTACTAAGTCCGTCAGTTAGATGATCAAAAAATAATGGACACGTATTTTTTCTTTGGGCAATCAAACAAAAAATGACAAAGTTATAGCGCGTCAAAGTTTGGGAGTAGGGGCTCGTGACGTCACTTTTGAGTGAATTTTCACTTAAAAGTGTAATAAAACGTGACGTCATGCGACTTTTCAAATCAATATATCTCTGCAATGTTTATATCTACTATATAAAAATAAGTCGGGTTTTCCTTCCTGACGCTATAACTCCAGAACGCACGAACCGATTTCCACGGTTTTGCATTCGTTGGAAAGGTCTCGGGCTCCGTGAGGTTTATAGCAAAGAAAATTCAGAAAAAAAAAATCAAAAAAAATCTTCTTTTAATCACCAAACGAAATGTTATATAAAACGAAGCCATCTGATGGCGAAACGGAGTTCGCCTGGTTTGCTAGTCTACTATATAAAAATAAGTCGGGTTTTCCTTCCTGACGCTATAACTCCAGAACGCACGAACCGATTTCCACGGTTTTGCATTCGTTGGAAAGGTCTCGGGCTCCGTGAGGTTTATAGCAAAGAAAATTTAGGAAAAATTAAAAAAAAACTTCTTTTAATCACCAAACGAAATGTTATATAAAACGAAGCCATCTGGTGGCGAAACGGAGTTCGCCGGGTTTGCTAGTTATTTATATATTCGAGGAGCTCGATGGCGCAAGTGGTTAGCGCGTTCGGCTGCGATCGTTGAACTTAAGCAACTTTCGCAGTGGTCGGTCATTGGATGGGTGACCAAAAATTACTATCTCGAGCTCCTCCGTGCTCCGGAAGGCACGTTAAGCCGTTGGTCCCGGCTGCATCTGCAGTCGTTAGCACCCGCCAATCCGCACTGGGCCCGCGTGGTGGGTCATGGCCCAATCTCCCTATTCCATCCATAGGGAAGGCCTGTGCCCCAGCAGTGGGGACATTAATAGGCTGATGATGATGATGTTTATATTATGTGAAAAAAGAAAAAATACGTGTCCAACACTTTTTGATAATCTACCTGATAAACGAAGAAAAAAAAATAGTCATCATCGCTATTTGATGCAAAATACAACTCTTTCGAATCGTCCATATTTTATTCCCTACCACCAGTTAGAGTCTGTACGGAAAGAGAATGGGCGTGGCGAAAAACGGAACTAAGAATTCAGATTTTTATTTGGCAATCAAACCCAGCAATCTGTAAAACGTCAAAGTTTTGCAGAATAGAATAGAATAATTATTTATTTGCGTTTGAACAGGGTAATCTAGGTCATAAATAGTTACACAACTATACTGTAGGTTTCACCTATTCAGCTATAGACCGTAGCATGCAAATTTACATCAGTTTTTTATCAAATTAATTAATACTATGTCACATGATTGAATAAAAATTACTTAACAGGTCACAAAATAAATAGTCAAAAATATAAAAATTCGATTAAAATCAGGTCATATTAAAATGTGAATCAAAAATATAATTAAATCAGTATATGTCACTCAAAATCTCATCCACCAAAATTACTATTATTTATATATTAGCTATCATAATTCAAGAATTCCTTGACTGAGTAGAATTTACGTTCAATGAGCCATCTATGTTATTATTTTTTTAGTTAGTGTTATTTTAAATCTACTGAAAGGCAAATCTCTTATTGAATGTGGAATATTATTAAAAATTTGAATGCACATATAGTAACAGTTCTTTTTAAAACGTGTGCTTTTCGGGATTGTATCAATGACTAACCTTTTACCATGTCTTGTATTTGTAGGAAATATCTCACGGGCAGTTACAAAGGAATTTTGATTTAACTTTACGAACTTAGATATCTCCAGGATATAGAGGCATACAGACATATCTGGTGCAATCCCGCATATTGCCCTTATGCACTTTTTCTGTGCTACAAATACCCTTTGTATGTCCGTACTATTTCCCCAAACAATAAACCCATATCGCAAGACCGATTCCACATAAGCAAAATATGCTGTTAGAGCCGTATTGAAGTGAAACTTCTTTATCGGCATTGGAAAAAAATTTACCGTCACATTTTTTCGGTTACGCGTCACGTTTTTTGGTTACGCGCCATCTTTTTTTTAAAAGAGCACTATTTACCTCATCCGAACAATTGCTTCTTCTGTCAACTTTAAAAAAAAAAAAGTATCGACAGCAAATATTCGTGTTTCACACAAGGTAAGGTAAGGTAAGGTAAGGTAAGGTAAGGTAAGGTAAGGTAAGGTAAGGTAAGGTAAGGTAAGGTAAGGTAAGGTAAGGTAAGGTAAGGTAAGGTAGGTTGATATGAGATTAGCTTAAGAAGATGCTAATATACCGCGGGCGCTTACGGACTGCGAGGTAAGGTAAGGTAAGGTAAGATGTAGTTATACCCCTTTAGTGGGTGAGTTTTTGAAAAATCTTAGCGCACGCCTATATATATATATTTCTGGAAAGTTGCATGTAGATCATTTTTCGAAAAAAATAAGGCCATAAAGAAGTTTCACTTCTTACGTGTGTACACTAGTACACGCACACATTTTTTTTAGTTGCTGTTTTAGTAAGTTTAAAAAGTGCATAAGCAAATCTATTTATTTTATTGCATACCTTGTCTACATGTAACTTCCAATCAATTTTTTGGTCAAGCTCAATGACCAGAATAGTAGCAGTGTATTGATACGGATTTGTTTGTTGTTGTGATTTCTTGCGGTTTATTGTATTTAATCATGTCTTAAAGGGGTAAAACCTTATAAATACGGTAGAAAAGCACTACAAGGCCCACCGATCTAAATCCTATTCTCTTTCCGCACTGACTCTAAGGACTTTTTTTTAGCTGTGGAGAAAAACTGTCGAAAAGAGCTTCACAGCATTAAACAAATTATGTAACAATATTTACAAAATATTATATTGTTTGTTACGGTGTCAATACAAAATCATTTCATCCTCATCAGTATTATAGAAAAAGCCTGCCGGAAATTTTTGAACTGTTTAAACCCAAGAATTTTTGTCTGAAATATAAATCAGACCCTTTTTAATATGCTTTATTAATAAGAATGTTTTAAATTTATTGACACTTAATTTTTGGATATTGCTAGGGACTTTAATTATAGAAGCGTACAGAAAGACCTATAAATGAATTATTGATTTTGACAAGGTAATAGATAAATAAATATCATCATCATCATCATCATCATCAGCCTATTAATGTCCCCACTGCTGGGGCACAGGCCTTCCCTATGGATGGAATAGGAAGATCGGGCCATGACCCACCACGCGGGCCCAGTGCGGATTGGTAGGTGCTAACGACTGCAGATGCAGTCAAAAAACGCTTTCGCGGCAACTTGGAAATTGAATTTCTAATTTATCACGCAACAGAATTAAAAATATACACGTTTTATGAATTCCATAAACATTATTGAATAGCATGAGATCGTTTTCTAAAACTTGTCAAATACCCTATTATATCTAAGTATGTCAGTATTATCGGCGGATATCTCGTTGTAAATGAAACATAGGAGAATTTCTAAACAATCTTCTCTCACCTTCTTTGTTCTCATCTTCTCGGTAACTCTGTGTCCCAACAGTCGCTCGCAGGCTTCAATCTTAACCTCTTGCACTCCTTGCTCTGTGACCGTGGACATTCGAAGCACTGGCACTACTGACAGTTCGGAGTTCGAATCCGCGCTGATGAAAGAAAAAAAATAATAATCATATTTAAAGAATAAAGAAATAAAATTTTTTTTGGAAATTTTTTCTAGTAAAATTTTTTACATGCTTAAAAAATTATAAGTTTAATTGCTATTTCTTCTTTCAAATGTTTAATACTTGTAAAAGTATTCGTTTGTCATTGTGGGTTGCATACAATGCGAAGAGTTGGCGCTGCCTTGTAGCCTATGAAATGCTAGAGAAAATGCAACATGGACATTAGGGCCGCGATAGCATAATGATCAGTGCATCCCGGATAGCAGAGAGAGGGAGTGGTGGGTCATGGCCCAATCTCCCTATTCCATCCATAGGGGAGGCCAGTGCCCCAGCAATGGGTATATTAATCGGCTGATAATGATATTTAAATGGCAAAAACAGTTATACTCACTTGACAAGATTTCCTTTAGCGCAGGCCTCCATAAGTTCTTCAACGGCCACTCTCTTGTCATCGGACAGTTGTTCCGGAGTCACCACATCCATTTTGTTGAAAACCACCATTAACGGCTTGTTGGTGAATAAGGGCTTTATGCTCTCGAATAGGGAGATCTGTGGAGAGGGCAGGCATTAGAAAAACAAATCTTTAAGATGACATTCAAAATGTTATATTTTGATAAAACAAGTTTCAACGGGTTAGATGCACTGATTTTATTTATTTACTAGCGGCCCGCCCTCGCTTCGCTTCGGTGTAGAGCTGAAGTGTAGACTACAGTTTTTGTTCTCAGGCTTGTAATATACACAATGATATTCATCTATGATTCTTCTCATACCTGCATGCAAAAGTCTCAGCCCGATCGGTTTAAAATTGAGAAAGTTTCATACAAACTTTCATTCCCTATTTAATAATAACAATAATAAATATTCTTTATTGCACACAACAAAGGACAAAAGATTTTATCCCCTAGAGGGTAGAATTGATCAAAATCCTTTCTTAGCGGATGAAATTTTCTCCAAATTTCCGCCCGATCCGTCCAGTGGTTTGGGCTGTGCGTTGATAGATAACTATGTCAGTCAGTCACCTTTGAGTTTTATATATATAGATTCACGTTTCGCAACCTTTGCAGGTATACGTCGTCAGAATAATGTTTTTTTATTTACTTTGTCGAGCTACCTACCTAACCTGACCTACCCTTTTGTTTGGACAAAAATTTTTGTTTTTACTTTTTTATGACTCATACAAAAAATACATACAACCCTAAATTTTCACCCTTCTACCACCAACCCCTATTTTTTTATGGCGGTACGAAGTTCGCTGGGACAACTTATTAAAATATAAAATATTTGGGCACAAACAATTGTACGAAATAATAGCTATAAATGTTGTTTCTCTTTTCTGAGCACAACACAATTGTTTTATTCCGTAATTGAATCTATTTAGTTCATAGAATCTCATTATATGTATGTATACGAAGATTTCCTAATTATAATCTTCTATTATATAAAATTCTCGTGTCGCGGTGTTTGTGGTTAAACTCCTCCGAAACGGCTTTCCCGATTCTCATGAAATTTTGTGTGCATATTGGGTAGGTCTGAGAATCGGACAACATCTATTTTTCATCCCCCTAAATGTTAAGGGTAATCCACTCCTAAATTTTTTCTTTCAATTTATTTAATTTTTCTTTTTTTTATGATACAGCATTAGTAAATACATATAACCCTAAATTTTTCACCTTTCTACCACCAACCCCTATTTTTTTAGTGCGGTACGAAGTTCGCTGGGACAGCTAGTCTAATATATAAAATTCTCGTGTCACGGTGTGCGTAATTGAACTACTGCGAAACGGCTCGACCGATTTTCGTGAAATTTTATATGCATATTCAGAAGGTCTGAGAATCGGACAACATCTATTTTTTATTCCTCTAAATGGTAAGGGTTGTCCATAAAAAATAGGGGTTGGTGGTAGAAGGGTGAAAATTTAGGATTGTATGTATTGTCTTAAAAACAAAAAAAATGTCCAAAAAAAAATTTAAGGTTATTTTTTTTGTTTTTTGTAACCCTAAATTTTCACCCTTCTACCACCAACCTTTATTTCTTTATGGCGGTACGAAGTTCGCTGGGACAGCTAGAATTATATAGTATAAACTAGCTGACCCAGCGAACTTCGTACCGCCCTAAAAAATAGGGGTTGTCCAGCGGACAAAATTGTGAATCTAAACCATTCTCAGATCCCCTTGAACACACACAAAAAATTTCATCAAAATCGGTCCAGTCGTTTAAGAGAAGTTCAGTGACATACACACTCACAGAAGAATTATATATATAAAGATATATCAATGTTAACGAGTTATAATGTCCCTGTACTGGGTAATGCAGATCGCGTATAATGTCACGCGACTTGCGACCTTATGTCAGGTAACCATAAAGCTTACTGTAGGCCGCGAGTTGACTGAACCGAGGCACTTATAGCCAAGGACAGCTTCGAACGGGCCAAGAATATATAGAAAACATTAAAAGAAGACTTCAATATCGTTTAATTTACATGTGAAGAGGAAACTTTCATTTAATCGCTTAAACGCCGCTTTGGTCGAAAATAATAATAATAATAATAACCTCATGAAAGCCGAGAAAGATAAACAAATAAAATATCTTGACTTGGCTCATGAGGTTGTCGCCATGTGGGATGTTGACTCGGCTATCATTGTGCCGATAGTTGTGACAGTCAATGGCCTGATAGCTAAGAGCTTCGACTGTCATCTGCGGAGGCTCGAGTTGGGTGACTGGATCAAGGGCCTGATACAGAAGGCAGTGCTCCTTGACACGGCTCGCATTGTGAGGAGGTTCCTCTCTCTGGGGCCCTAACCGCCGGTAGCTAGGACCCTGTTCCCGATGCCGGTTGGCTTCTATTTTTTATATTTTTAAATGTTTTTATTTTTATATCAATATTTAAAAATGTAATCAATATGTTATACAATAAATAAAGAGAATAATAATAATATAATTTTATTACTCTGCACAACTTACATAATATGGGACGCTATATAAGGTGGAAACAATCTTACATAAGATGTGAGCTCCGCTCATCGAATCCGAACATAGTAATATAGCTAATTTAAAAATAATATTTATAATACTACTAAAAAGACAACAACTAAAATCTCAAACATAAGTGAAAGTGTGTGATGTGCATGCGCGCGTGTGTTTGTGTGTGTGTGTGTGTGTTTGTGTGTGTGAGTGAGTGTGTGTGGTTATGTGAGAGTGTGTGAGTGAATGAGTATGACAGTGTTCAATCTGTGTAAGCATGAATTCTGAATGAATGTAAGCATGGTTTTTAAGAACGTTATTATTTATATTGTGACATAAGTGCTTCAGTTGAGTCATAGTCCAATGCTTCGAGTCACGTTGACACGGCTTCTTTAAAATTATGCTTACACATAGGGTAAATATTTATGTCTTTATTAATCTTATTGTATAAATATGGACCTAGAAAATGAGTTTTATATATCATTTAAATCAGTTTTTTTGGAGTTTACTCCTTAAGAATCGATTTGCATATATAAGGGGTTAGGTATGAGAAAAATGTGAGGAGTAAAATCTATCGATGAATGACCTCGTTACGTTTTTGGTGCGCATCCTGTGTCGCGCAACTTTCTAATTTGGTTGCGAGTGTAGGGTATAGGGACACGTGCATTGGGTATACTGCAAAGCGACTATACCTATATGTTATTGGGTTTGTTTATTTCTATCAGTGTCGACATACTTATACTGCTGTTTTTATTATAAATATCAATCTATACTTATAATAAATCTGTAGAGAGCTCAATTCTGCACATGAAATATATTTTCAAAATAACTATCAGGGGGTGATTAGTGATCGATACTGATGCCAAAAATGCAATCAGTAAAATTTTTGTCTGTCTGTCTGTGTGTATGTTCCTTATAGAAACAAAAACGTCTCGACGGATTTTAACAAAACTTGGTACAATTATTCTTCATACTCCTGGGCAGGTTATGGTATACTTTTCATCACGCTACAACCAATAGCAGCAGAGTAGTGAAGGGAAATGTTGGGAAAACGGAAGAAGTTACTCCATTTTTTAAGCTTCCGTCGCGTGTGCAGCCTTAATGGTTAAAGTTACATAGAAATCATGTATGACGGAAATATTCTACATAAAATTGTCTAAAAAATATCCCGCAACAGCATATGTCTATCTTTTATGGTTGACTCACAATAACACGTGTAATTATATAAATAAAGTCATTCTTTATAGCACAAGCCTGAGAACAAAAACTATATTCTACACTACAGCTCTACACCGAAGCGAAGCGAGGGCGGGCCACTAGTAATTAATATTGTTATTGTGAAGTTTTAATCTTTATCATTGTGTTCCGCTAAATAATTAAATAAAGATATTATTATTTATTTAGTTACCATAAACCACTTGTCACTTTAATTAATAATGCAGACAATGTTGATTTAATTAATATTTAAAAAATGATAATAGTCTGATAATAATAATTACATAATTTATCAACATTCCTAATGATATATTTATGCACATCTGAAATTGACTATTGTAAAAAGTTTAATGTAAAATATTTCGCCGATTAGTTATAATAAATGTATATGAAATGAATAAATATATATTTATATATGTATATTATTTTCATTAATTTGTTAATTTACCCTTTCATACAGTATCAATCTTTTTTAAGTTAAATAAACTCTTTTTGCGTCTGGTTAGACTATCGAACTTAAGGAGTAAACTCCAGTCGTGCGTCGGAGCTGACACACACAATTTTGCGTCGATCTGTTTATTGTTTCGTGAAGATTTTGAGTCCCTTTTTTATATTTTTCACCATGCTGAAGCGACATAAATTTTGGTATTTTTTGAACCAATGGTGCTTACACCCTAGTATTTGGCGTATGATTTGATGTTTATATAATAAATTTATAGATTTTTTTCTTAAGTAGAATGAAATAATATATTTAGATTTCAAATAGTAGATTTGTAAAAAAATAAAAAAATATTATGCTCATAATTTTTATTATTTTAAAGCATGTAACTGCTTATGTCTAAATGTTTAAATCTAAAGAAAAAAAAACATGAAGCAGTTACATGCTTTAAAATAATAAAAATTATAACTATAATTCTATTTCTTCTTTCAAATGTTTAATACTTGTAAAAGTACTCATTTGACATTGCGGGTTACCTACAATGCGAAGAGATGGCGCTGCCTTGCAGCTTAAGAATGGCTAGAAGAATTTCGACGCCGTCCGTGAGGGCCGCGGTAGCATAATTAATCAGTGCATTCGCCCGGATTGCGAAGGGTGCGGGTTCGAGTCCCGTCTGCTGCCTGGTCCGCGTGGATTTTTTTCTAGTTATATTTTCTTTAAATATTATGCTATTTAAAAATTAAAAAACAAGAACATATCCTCACCTGATCCTGCACGCTGTGACCGCACTGTTCAGATAAATCCATCACATATAGTACAGCAGCTCGGAGATGAGCTAAAGCCGTGACAGCTTGCATTTCTATCACGTTGCGCTCTTCTAGAGGATGGTCTAGAATGCCGGGAGTGTCTATGACCTGAACAAATATAGATATAAACATTTCCAACACACACACCAATTAGCCTAGCCCCAAACTAAGCACTATAAGGCTTGTGTTATGGGATACTAGGGTAACGGATAGAATAAATATACTGTACATATATAAGTATATTTATATAGAAATACATGTTAAACAACCATGACTGGAGTACAAATGCTCGTATTCATCACACAAACATCTGCCCCCACCGGGATTCGAACCCGGGACCTCTCGAGTCGGCGACACCATGAAACCCGGCGTTCTAACCACTCGGCCACGGAGGTCGTCAGTATATAAATATATAAAATAAATATTTCCGACACTCACACCAATTAGCCTAGCCCCAAAGTAAGCACTATAAGGCTTGTGATATGGGATATTAGGGTAACGGATAGAATACATGTACTGATACATATATAACTATATATTTGTATAGAAAAACATATTAAACATCCATGAATGGAGTACAAATGCTCATATTCATCACATAAACATCTGCCCTAACCGGGATTCGAAACCGAGACCTCTCGAGTAGGCGAGCGCGATGAATACATTGGTAATCCAGTCATGCATGTCTAATATGCATTCCTAGCACGAAACAATATCGAATTCGAATAGTTTGCGAGTGCGAAATTTCAATGTCAAAAGTTGTATGGAAACTTGAACGGCAGCGCCACAGCGGACGTAACGAGAACTAAAAATCAGCTCACATTTGAGCTATATGTAGATCGAATTCAACTATTCTAAATCGATAATTCGAGGAGCTCGATGGCGCAAGTGGTTAGCGCGTTCGGCTGCGTTCGTTGAAGTTAAGCAACTTTCGCAGTGGTCGGTCATTGGATGGGTGACCAAAAATTTATTATCTCGAGCTCCTCCGTGCTTCGGAAGGCACTTAAGCCATTGGTCCCTGCTGTATCTACAGTCATTATTTTCCGTAAACTAGCTGCGGTAGAACGATCAGTACAAAAAAAGGAAAATAGTATTTGCAAATATTCTACATTAACTTGCAATAGGAAGAATAAATCTACTGTTTACTTCTATTGGAAATAGTCAGAATCTCTTATCTATTAGACAAGTCCGTCCGTCCGTCTGTCTGTGGTGCTGTTTCAGCGGCCAAACCGTAAGAGATAGATAAAGAGAATATTTAAGTTATAAGTTAAGAATAGTCTGATAAGACTGCAAACCGGATTTGAGTAACGTAGCACTTCCGGTTTTCGAGAAATCACGAATTTCAAACGAAACCACACAAAATCTCCGAAGTTCTCAATTAATTAAATACATTTTTTTTTTTAAATCAGGTTTTGGTGAACATTTGGTTCACTGGTTTGCTAGTTGTACATTAACTTACAATAGAAAGAATAAATCTACTGTTAACTTGTATTGGAAATAGTCAAAATCTTTTCTAAGGAGGTAAACGAGGCCGTCAAAAATTAAGTTTCTTTACAATAAATGTGAAAGGGCTCATAAGACTATTTAAGACCAAGTGCTTGTCGTAACCTAAGGAATAATAGTACATTACGATACGCGTGACCTAAGTTGCCTATTACTGCACGGCGTGAAGTTAGCGCCCGGTGCTAAACGCCGTGCAGTAATAGACAACTTAGGCCACAAGTATCGTATACTATTTTATAGCAAGTGTGACATAAACCCGCCCCGGACGCGGGCAAGAGGGGGGGGGGGGGGGGGGAAGGGGGGGGGGGGGGGGGGTGCGATTAGTGTTGTGAAAGTAAAATTCATGTATTGCAATCACAAAGAATTGCAATACAGACTGCAAGTCAAACTCTGAAAAGAAAGAATTCCGGTTCAGATTATCCATGAACGTTTATTCCTTGATTGGCATAGTAAAGTTAAGTTACGCGTATCGTAATGTACTAATTCTACATGAGTGAAGTTGGTCAATTCATTTACACACCGTGCAGAAATAGGCAACTTAGGTCACGGAAAAGCGTGCGTAAAGTGCGGGTTTAGGTCACACTGCTATAAAAGATATTAAACAACTTACCTGCCACCTTAGATACTTGTAGTCGGTGTGACCAACGTACAAACTCTTCGTGGTGAATGCATAAGGCTGCACTTCTACGTCGGCGCGGGTTATCTGTGAACGAAGTAATCTATTATAGCAACGTTTTTGAAGTGAAAACTTCTTTAGCGGCGTTGTACACTTTTTTTTGTATGGGTGAGATATGTTAAACTCGCGTCAGGTTAAACACGTGGGCTGATCGCGTCATGACACACAATAAAATTGGAAACGTTGTTGACTTTTAATATATTGGACGAAACGTAGTAATATTTTATTTTATCGTATCATAATAATAAGTCTCTATTTAAGACGTCCACGTGGCAGCTTCATTGCGAAGAAAATGCATTTTTTTACAATAGATGTCGCTAGGTGCGCTTAAACGTGATTCATGTGAGATGATTTTTCTGAGAGATAAACTTTTTTAATGTAATATAAATTGTCATGTTTGTGTACGATAGCGCAATAAATAAGTATTGTATTCTACCACATACATGATAGTACTTTTATACTGATAATTAAAGCAATTCGTGCAAAATTATTTCCTAACCATTCCAAAATATCAAAAATGCACAACGTTAATATTCAAGTTTTCACTTCTGCGGCACTCCCGGAGTGCAACCCGTCGTTTTTATTTATTTAAAGACAATGCAATTAGAAACGCGAACTAATTAACACACATTAGTGACAAGAATAGCCTACACCTTTAACTGTAACTGATTTTATCTCTCTATGATCTTTTTCTCCTGCACTCCAACTTACTAATTCACATTTAACGTGTACAAACTACAATCAAAGTACGACCTACTTTATTTGAACAAATGTACATCATGTTGCGTCTCTTTCTACCTTGTAGGATTGTCTTAGAGGCATGATATCTCTTTTATTTATTTATTTTCATTTGGGAAACATACAGTTTTACACAATACAATTAAGTAACTCTTATTACTTTTTCATAAACCAGTTAAGTTTCCACAGACTGAAACATTCATACACTTACATAATTTACTTAAGATTACGTACAATCAATATTTAGAGTTATATGAATAGAATAAACAAGATAATCAAAATTTATGGTAAGAAAATAATTACTGAATAAATACTAAAATTATTAGGGTAAAACGACCTCATAGCATTCATTTCTGAATTGATTGTAAGGAAGGCAAAATATATCCAATCCCCTGAAGTATTTATTATAGCTGTGACATGCTCTAGAAATGAAACTATTTGCAGAAAACTTGGTCCTGCTGAATTGTATTACAAACGTGTTCTAGTTCTATTCAGACAACGGAAAAAAATCCTCTGCAAAAGGAACGGCGAATCTACAAGGTCATTAATAAGTTTGTAAAGAAATAATTGATCTCTAACAGATCTGCGATGTTGCAAGGATATTTTCCTCACTCTGCCATTCTTAAATACTAAGTCTATAGCCTCAACATTGGTGACATTTATATGCTGATGGTGTGACTGAGGAGCTGGCGAACATAACGGTATAATTACCTAAAATTACTATACCTATACGAGCTGTATAAAACTGAATGACATACCTATTATACAGTGAGCTTTTGGCATGGTTTTTAATTCATAAATTTAGTTTATTTAACACTGTTTTGATCAACGATATTAATTACTCTAGATACACCAACACAAACAAAATCGTGGCCGAAACCTGTCCAAAAGGTACATTGAACGATCCACGGAGCTCCGTATGACGAACGCGTAGTCAAAATCATTATAAGGCATTATTTAAATATTGAAAGTAACCTTCAATACATACTGTATAAGGTCTTAAATAAAACGCATGCGTCAAGGACTTCTGACAGTTCGAAATGCAAGCTCGTAAAATTTTACAACTTATTGCAATATGCGGAAAAATTTAGACCTTAGTTCTTTGACTCTACGCGCAATTTTGAACGCGCTGTTAGCTATATAGCAGGCACGGACTACGAGGAAAAGAGACGGCTACGTATGACCGACCATGCATTTGAATATCACAAATATTTTATATTAAAGCAGTTTATAGTAAGTATTAGAATAAAATTTACTTCAAATGCGTTAAATTAACAAACATTGACTAGATACCTGTCGAAAAAACGACACTTTTCATAGTCTAAGTTTTATTTTCGCATTTTTTCGCGGAGCTCTGTTGACTTTGCAATGGTCCGCGCGTGACTGTGAACCAAGAAGTGCTTGAGTGGAGTTCAAGCACTTCTTGATTGGGACACATTTTGAGCGCTCGTGGTGTATCGAGGGTATTTAATATCGTTGGTTTTGTTTGAAAATTATTTGAGATTCAAATTCAATGGGCCCGAAATCTGTAAAAAAAAATAGTATGACCAGATGCGTCATTATACCGTTTTGTTCGCCAGCTCCTCATATATTCCTCTGTCCCTGAACTGGGTAATGCAAGGCGCGTATAATATCACACGACTTGCGACCTTATGTCAGAAGTACTGTAGGCCGCGTGTTGACTGACACGAGGCATTAACAGCCAAGGACAGCTTCGAACGGGCCAAGAATATAAATAAATCATCATCATTGGCCTATTTATGTCCCTGTTGTTGATCAAGCGACTGGTTGGGATTCCTGTTTAACATTATCTTACCCAATGAATGGATAGTCGAATTCATTTGCAGATATTTGACTTGTCAAAGTTGCAGCTTGCATTTAATTTCTAATTCATTGACAGAAGCAGTAAACCACAGTGTGATAATAAAACTTACCTTATTGATGAAACTGGACTTGCCAACGTTGGGGAACCCGCAGATGATGATGGTCCGAGTGTACGGATCAATGGATGGCAGACGGGCCAAATGTTGACGGACCTTGTGGAAGAAGAAGTACAATTAAGAAGTGTCATCATCATCATCATCATCAGCCTATTAATGTCCCCACTGCTGGGGCACAGACCTTGCCTATGGATGGAATAGGGAGATTGGGCCATGACCCACCACGCGGGCCCAGTGTGGATTGACAAATGCAGCCGGGACCAAAGGCTTAACGTGATTTTCGAGCACGAGAGGGACTCGAGACAGAAAATTTTTGGTCACCCATCCTATAACCGACCACTTCCAAAGTTGCTTAACTTCAACGATCGCAGCCGAACGCGCTAACCACTTGCGCCATTGGGCTCCTCAAGTATTACAATTAAGAAGTGTCATGTGCTTTAATTGTATAATGCGATTCAAGCAAGAATAGGACCGACTGGGCGCCATATTGTGACGTCATAGCTGTCAATCCAAACCAAATAGGTAAAGTGAGCAAAAAAAAGTTTTTATTTAATAAAACTTATTTACTAAGATTAAGTGAGAAAATGCATCCGATTTTTTTAATAACATTTATTTACAAAGATTGAGAGAAAAAAAACACCGATTTTTAATAATATTTATTTATTAAGACTGTGGGATAAAACATTAATCAGAATCTCTTCCATTCCGCTCATCTCTGCATTACCGCCGGAGTAGTTATGAATAATCATGCACTATTACTAGGTCACATACGAACATGCATCCTTTATGTAAACGAAAGTTTGAAATCGAGTTTCTGAACGCAACATAAAGTGACATTTGGTTGACGATTTAGGTTATCAACCATTCATGGCCAAAGCTCAATAAGTGAAAAAAAAATATCAACCAATATTAATTATCAATATTTGTTATTGTTTGTTTACAAATGTTTGGTTTTTATTCTTGAATTAGCGGAGTGCTAATCAAGGGTTCCAAGTATTTTTTGCAAACCGTACTTTACAAGCGACATTTGACAGATAGAGGTCATTGCCTTTCCTATTCAGCATAATGGGTCAGTGCATTCGCCCGGATTGCGATAGGTGCGGGTTCGAGTCCCGTCTGCTGCCTGGTCCGAGTAGAATTTTTTCTAGTTATATTTTCTATAATCTCTTATCTATTAGACAAGTCCGTCCGTCCGTCCGTCCGTGGTGCTGTTTCAGCGGCCAAACCGTAAGAGATAGATAAAGAGAATGTTTAAGTTATAAGTTAAGAATAGTCTGATAAGACTACAAACCGGATTTGAGTAACGTAGCACTTCCGGTTTACGAGAAATCACGTGATTTCTATTTCAAACGAAACCACACAAAATCTCCGAAGTTCTCAATTAATTAAATATTTTTTTTTTTTGTGAACATTTGGTTCACTGGTTTGCTAGTTATAGACATATTAAAGGAATCTTCACCTGTTCCAAATAAGTGAGGTTGGCAGCCTGTCTCTTCATAATGGTGGCCATTCGTCCAAGTGCAGCTCGCTTGAGCTGTTTACAACGGTACAGAGAGTCTCCATATTTCAACAGCCTCACGTAATCCTTGGCCACACTGCAATACAACGTTCATCATCATCATCACCATCAGCCTATTAATGTCTCCATTGCTGGGGCACAGGTCCCTATGGATGGAATAGGGAGATTGGGCCATGACCCACCACGCGGGCCCAGTGCGGATTGGCAGGTGCTAACGACTGCAGATGCAGCCGGGACCAACGGCTTAACGTGCCTTCCGAAGCACAAAAACGAGGTTCATCATCAGAAGGCGATGGGCCTATTTATTATTTTTAACGATCCGCCTAAAATCTAATTGCAACTCAACTTTATACGAAATCAGTATAGTGCTTTATCTCACCTGTTTCCAAAGTTCCGAAAGAAGAATTTGAATTTGAAAACTGGTTTCAGAAACGGCCGAAGGGAAGCTAATATAATTTCACACAAACAGTCATCCCGTGTTTTCAACCCTTTGGGATGAATTTCCATACATCCCTTTAAAGTACTCACAAAAATACTAGTGAGTACCTGTGACTTTGTCTGATGTAACTATAGTTTTTATTTGTAAATGCCGCAGGAAATCAACATTTTTCCAGGCTAAAAAGTATCATATATCTCAATCCAGGTAATAAACTATATTCAGACTCAATTTCATCCAAATCCGTTCAGTAGTTTTTACATCATTAAGTACAACCAGTACAAACTTACAAAACTTTCACTGACTACTTTGTATGTTTGTGTGTTTGTTACTCAATCACGCAAAAACGTTTGTACGGATTTGGATGAAATTTTGCACACAGATAGCTTATGGAAATCTGGCCTGGACAGAGACATAGGAAACTTATTTTCTCTTAAAAGTTGTAACGTGTTAAAAACGTTACATAGATCTCCTTCGCTCGAAGAGCGAGATAGAAGATTTTTTTTGGTTGTCTCTCTGGTCGTTTTTATCTCGCGTCCATTTTCTTTAATCTGTGCACTTTTCATTATTATGTTTCTGCCTTTATCAAGCAGTAGGCTGTATGGACGTTGTTCTCTTTGCCTTCCCGGCAAGAGAAAACAAACTTCAGAAAAAACTAATGTCACTTCACTTCACGACCAAAATTTTTACGTAAAACATGTAAGATAATTAATCTAAATATTTAAATTGATAATCCCTTAGATTATTGATTGTTTTTAATGGTAAGTGTTTTTCCAAATTCGAAAAGTGTTTTAATTCATATATTTCAATGATTTACATGAGGATTGATTTTGTTTACAGATGTAATATTTTACACCGTTTGCGCGGAATGGCGGCGAACACATTCCAAGCTTAATTTGTTTGTAAAACGGTAAGAACCTTAGTGATTTCCTTAGTTTTACATTTTTTTTGAAGGAGGAATTTTTATTTTCAGCGAAAAGCGTTTTTTTTATTTGGATTTTTTATTCAAACTTCAACATTTCCCGTGATGTGGAGGTGAACTCACGTGATGTAACAACGGCCATCCCTTAAATATTTACAACACCAGACGTATACTACTCAGATCAGATGCAGCAAAGTCCGTATTGTCCAAATTCATTGTCGTACCCGAACCCTAATATAAGGTAAATTTTCATTTTATCTTTGGTAGAATCATAGTCTTAGTTTCAAAATTTAGCAGTAACCCTTTTGGACCCGTAATTCTGTAGTAAAGGACATTGTTCAGCGTCCATACATCGTTAGCCTAAGAACCAACAATCATGAAATATTATTTTCTAGGTTCGAAATCGTAAGTAAATGACTGTAAAAACAAAAATTATTGACGGACACTTCTGAGAACTTAAATTATTAGGAAAACTAAAATTATTTTGAGGTTATTTTTAATATTCAATGAAACATGGGTCAACCTATGTACTTAGTATGAAGTGAAATTATATTACAACTAATTCATTTATTTCGGTGCGATTTTAAAGAATAACTATTAGGAAAAACTTGGTTAGGTAGAAATCATGAATAAAATAAAAACTGTAATTTTGCTTCTTATTTATTGACTATTTTTCACATAATTGTATCATATTGTATATATTTGTATATCACATGTATATTGTATAAATATGCAGCGTGAATGTGTATCAGGTGTTCTTAAATAATTTGGCAGTATGATCCTGTCAGGATGTTGTGGCACAGGTTCACTAGCACTTGGTAATAAGGGCTCTGCTCTTTGGTAACATCGATGGCATATTAGATAGCCGAAATAGTTAAATTAAAGGAAAAACAATCGCAAATATACACACACAACAGGTAATCCGAAACGAGAATGCACTATCCGGTATAATATACTACTCTTTGGAATGCACGAAAATCACAGATTACTACGAATGCAAACTGCATGCACCACAACCACAGAGTAACGAGTTTTATGCCGGCTCTTCACTTGACAACAGTTTGTCCTTTTCATGCTTAATAAGGAATGTAAAGGACAGACTGATGTCATGTTTTAAAATAGCCAATTAAAATGCCGGCATTAAGAAGAAAGAGTGTTTTGTTCACAGCGCTGTCATAGATTATACATAAAATGGTATTTAGGTATTTATCATCTCAGATTATTTTATAACTTTTTAATTTAGCTTACTTAACTGGAAGTGTCCGTCACAATCTAAATACTGATAATTATCGCAAAAAATATACTAAGAATTATCATAAATGCCAAATTGGTGTTGGTTCTTAGGCCAATTTTAACATTGACCTTTAAATAAATTGACAACCCAAAATGAATATGGATTTGCATTAAACTCCCCTTGCGAATAATAGTCCATTGCTTTCCCGGCTAATATGGTTTAATGATAGTGTGGTAGGCCTGGCGCCCGAGTATTCTTTTTTAATTAATTTCGGCCTATCCATTTAAAGTAACTAATACAATTGTCACCATTGATTTTATTTTTTAATATTACAAAGTGTTAGGTTTCCAAGAGATTTTCAAACAACTAAAGGTTATTGTTCCCTCCTTGCTACAATCTGGGGTCCTTTTAAGAGGCATGAAGAAGTATTTCTGCGGGCCGGCAAAGTGAGGATGGTTGGTGTAGCAGTTTATAACTACTGTACCAACTATCTTCGCGTTTGGACTTTATCACCACTGAACATCAAGTGGAGTAGAGTCATTTGCCTACCTGGCTACATATAAACTGTTCCAAACGTTCCGGCAGGCTTTTTCTTTAATTATGATGAAGATGAAATAATTTTGTATTAACAATGTATCAATATAATATTTTGTAAATATTGTTACATAATTATTTAACCCTGTGAAGCTTTTTTCGCCAGTTTTTCTCCACAGCTAAAAAACAATATTCTTAAATGGTGGTAGGGGAAAAAATATAGGCGATTCGAAAGAGTTGTATTTATGCATCTGATTTGAATAAAGATATTTTGACATTTGTAAAATAAAGGGTAACACTGCAAAGTCTTGGACAGCTGCTTGTTTAACAATGTAAGGAAAATATTAATTAATACTGAATGAAAGACATACGTGTCAATAAGATGCCTGGCGGTGTTGAGTTGGCCGAGACCAAGCTTGTAGTGGTCCTTGTCATAGAGTACGTTCATGAGGTCAGCGTAGAACGGATGCACATCATCCAGTTTAGGAAATTCCTAGAATGCAAAGGAAATAAATGAATACAATTATAATTATAATTTATAAATACTAAATTGAAGTATAAAAACATTGACAAGCATTTAACATTAGTATGGTGCTGTGTAGAATAATCTAAAATTAATAAGAATACAGCTTTATATCCCTTGGGGCAGCCCCTTAAGTTTTATTGTATGACAAAATAATAATATAAATAATAATAATAAATATTTCCATTACTCACACCAATTAGCCTAGACCCAAAGTAAACACTGTAAAGCTTGTGTTATGGGATACTAGGGTAACGGATAGAATACATATACCATACATATATAAGTATATTTATATCTTAATATATATAAATCTCGTGTCACAATGTTTGTCCTCAATGGACTCCTAAACCACTGAACCGATTATAATAAAATTCGCACACCATGTGCAGTTTGATCCAACTTGAGAGATAGGATAGTTTAAATCTCAAATTATAGTCGCAATTTTAATTTATTGGAATTATTACTTTTGGGCGGTACGAAGTTCGCCAAGTCAGCTAGTAGTAATACATATTTAACATCCATGACTGGAGTACAAATGCTCGTATTCATCACACAAACATCTGCCCCCACCGGGATTCGAACCTGGGACCTCTCAAGTCGGCAACACCATGAAACCCAGCGTACAAACCACTCGGCCACAGAGGTTGTCGGTCGGAAAATGTACCCCTAGTCCTTTTAAACCTAAAGAATCCTATATCTCAAAATTTATCAGAATAAGTTCAGTGACTGCATGAAAGAAAGAGTAACAGAAAGTCAATTTCTAGTCATTGACAACAACCTTTTGGTTTTAGATTATTATGTAAAGTATGGATGGATTATCAATAAACTTATCTGTAGGCCTATTCGCTAACCGCTTTTGATAAATGGAAGTGATAATCTCCGAGTTATTTAGTGATCCACTACTGCTTTATTATAACACCATTAAGATACTTATTCTAAAAAGCATTGATGGACATGCAATTTTCTCTTTTTTTGCATAGAGTAAATATCAAAAAAATTAGTGAATAGGCCGGCTGATAGAAAGAAAGAAAGAAAAACATTTATTGACGATTTTTTTTCTTTAAATTTTTCAAAAAATTTTAGGTCACCTCACTTGCGGTAGGCCACGCTCGGCGCTCGCTCGTATTGCGAAATGTAAAAAACCTAACAAAAGGCGAACACCGTTTATTTTGGACGGACACACAATCAAAAAGCCTATGTCCGGCTTTATCCGGACGCCTGACAACGTTAGTTATCAACATATTGCGCAATAAATAAATGTTGTACATAATAGTTAACAGCCATTTGTAAGTCAACAATTTATCAAAATATAATATAAAAGAATATCCTCAAAACTAAAACCGAAAAAAGGGTACAAACCTGAATTATCCTAGATAACCTGTCGTGAAAGTTCTGTTGCGTAAATTTCACTTTTCTGATATAAAAAGCACGTATCCTAGAGATTTTATAGTGCTTATGTACTACTGTCGGTGTTTTTCTTTGCGTTTTAGACAATATAATATCTATAAAGTCCTGAAATTTAAAAATAAATACTCATAATAAGGGTTACCAAAAAATTTTTCAAAGACGTTTATCGTAAAGCGAATTAACATTAAAAACCACAATTACCTTAGCTGTGGGAACCACAGCTATCTTTTTGAAATTATACAAACTCATATTGGCTTATTCTAATAAAACTATTTAAATAAAAGCACTCAGAACGAGTGCATCACACGTAAACACGTGTTTTAAAAGAAATGTCAAATCAACCAAATATCAATTTTTGTTTTTGTAGTCTATGGATCTGTCAGACTTGATAGTGGTGCGACACATTTTTACAGTCGATCTTCAAGTCGATCAAATGTGTTGCTAGCATAAAAAAACTGGTCAAGTGCGTGTCGTGTCGTGTCACATGCGTAAACATCTAATAGTCTGTGCGTGTCACGCGTGTCAATTTTTGGAATACGAATGATAATCGCTGGTAATTTTTTGTTTCCGCCCAGGTGGAGGAGCGGGTGTGAAATATTCATGGTTACAATACAGCCGACTGCAAAGTTATGTCAGACTCCTACTGACTAAAAGTTTCATCTGGAGCGATCACCCCCCTGAGAAAGGAATGATGCGGCATAACCGCCAATCTTTTTCAAATGCTTATATATTTTTTATAAAAACGTAACGTTAGCGCGACTCAGAACCCGTTGCCGTTGGCACTCGCAGTAGCGTTGTGGAACTAATTATTTTATTAAGCTTTTAAAGAGTTTTTTCAAATGCTTATATATTTTTTATAAAAACGTAACGTTAGCGCGACTCAGAACCCGTTGCCGTTGGCACTCGCAGTAGCGTTGTGGAACTAATTATTTTATTAAGCTTTTAAAGAGTTTTTGAAGTTATACTTCTTTAGGCGCGTTATGAAAAAATGATGAGAGTGAAATTTTAAGATGCGCGCGCATCACTGTAACACAAAATTTTAACAGCATGAAGTTGGTCGCTTTAGCGACTTCATGCGTTACTTTTGTGTTTACCGCACATTAAGAAAATCTACCAACAAAATAGAATCTCTATTTAGTGGGTGCTAACGACTGCATTGTGAAGGCCTATCAAAAGTATTTATTAATCTGGAACAACGGAACCAAAGCGCGATTCAGAAGACTACAGCGCCATCTCTTGACCATTGGTGTAGTAGAACCAAAAACCACATCTTTATTTTTTGTAATAAAGTAACAGTTATAGGTATTTATAATGATAATATCAAAAGTATTTATTAATCTGGAACAACGGAACCAAAGCGCGATTCAGGAGACTACAGCGCCATCTCTTGACCATTGGTGTAGAAGAACCAAAAACCACATCTTTATTTATTGTAATAAAGTAACAGTTATAGGTATTCATATTCATAATATTTATCCACATGTTTCTAGTTTGTATATTCGGAATAAGTGTTTGAGTTTCATACAAGTGCAAATCACATATGTTCTCATAAATTATATTAAACTACTTGACCGTCACTGAAAGCTTTATATTGAGATAGCACTTCCGTTTCCCGTCGAATTACCATCTGTTTCCGTACTTTTATTCACCTTGTATCCGGTCCAGTGGCGACACCTGGCAGAGGCGCGGCCATTTTTGTTTTCCTAAGTTTTGACAGCGCCATATTAACTCATTGGCGTTCTGACTCCCGTCGAAGCAACACGTCCTCAATCTGAGCGATCGTTGTGAGATTTTAAAGGTTTTATTATTATTAAGTGATAAAACTGTAAGTAAAACTATTTGATTTTAACGGTTTTTGCCGTTCGTGTTATTCCAAATAGGTACTTTACGTGTTAAAAGTGAAGGAACCGTAAGTAAAACTATTATTCCTTTTGATAGTTTTTGCAGCCCTTGTGATAAGGGATATTTAAAACAAATATGTTAAATTGTGCAATACGCTTGTTTGAAAAAGTAATAATAAGCCGTGAGTAAAACTTGACGGCAATTCAAGGTGCGTTTTGTTTAAAAAATTAAAGTACCTACCTAGTAAATTTTGCAATACTTTACGTCTGTCTTGGTCGTTTATCATAAAAACTATTTTAAGAGTGTTTTCTCTTGGTACTCAATTAATGTTTCCGTATAAGTAAATGTGAAAGTAAATTGGTAAATGTATTACAAAATAATTAAATTGTTTTACAGTTTAGAGTGAATGAATATCGGTCAATATTGACGTTTCAGCCGCCGACTGACTGGCATTATTGGCAAAAACAGCAAGATGTGTCATTATTGTTCTTCGAACAGCTGCAGTAATAATTGGTAGAATTTGTCGTCTTCTGGTATAACAAAAGCGGCATCGCTGCCTCAAGAAAAATAAGCGAGCTTGATATTCCAGCCCTTTTATTAAAAGATTGTTCGAGGGGTAAGTGAACTATGTACAATCTTAATAAGGTATTTCTAATGTCGATATGCCGTTTTCTGAACATGGCCAGCTATCAATATCTAAAGGCTTATGAATAAAAAGTTCTAACATTTTTACTGACCAATACACGTAATAAAAATTCTCATATGAGTCGTGTGACTAAACTAGGATAAAGGAACGCTCTCTTCGAAAGACATTCAACGTTTATTTTAAATGATATGCTGATGTAAATTAAAAATTATAATCATAGTCCAGGCTTTATCAACCTGGAAACAAACAACGAGGTAAAGAAGTATGATGATAATTTATGATATATCACGTTCCTGACATTAATTTTCTTTCAGCAATTGCATATTTCTAAAATAAAAATGAATCATTGCGGGAAGGCACCTGCTCAGTTAATTTTAATAACGAAAGTGATAAGATAACAGAATCGTTTCTTAGGTCTTTTACAGCTAGCACAAAGCTAAAAAGTAAAAACTAAAGCACTGCTTAAGAAGTTAGTGATCTCTGTGATGAAGCACCACTTAATAAGATACCATCTATGAGGTTGTTTTTCTCGTATTAAGTAAGTATTTGTCATGGATTTAAGTGATTGACATTTCATCAACCTAATGAGAAACTCGCGCAGAGGCAAGTGATATTCATAAGCTTCATCTCATGAAGCCCAAGGCGTGTCAGGACATGCCCTCCCATGGCGTACCTACATATATGAGTACCGGTGGCAAATCACCCTCGCGGGGTGCATATTATATATAATTTGTTTCCACTACGTGGAATCTTATTAAATGCCTCTAATGCCTTGCCTACATATACGAGTACCGGTGGCAAATCACTATCGCGGGGTGAATATTATGTACAATTAGTTTCCACTACGTGGAACCTTATGAAATGCCTCTAATGCCTTGCCTACATATACGAGTACCGGTAGCAAATCACCCTCGCGGGGTGCATATTATATACAATTTGTTTCCACTACGTGAAACCTTATGAAATACCTCTAATGCCTTGCTTACATATACGAACTAAAACTCTGATGACCGCCCCTCGCGGGGGCATATTATGTATAATTTGCTTCCTCCGTATGGAACTCATTATGAATAAGGACTTGCCTTCCATGGCTTGCCTACACATACAAGTATCAGTAACAAAACATCGTTGATAGAGAAATATCCTATCCATCAATCTTATAATCGCCCTTGTGGGGTCATATCACACATAATATATTATTTCCATTACATGAATATCAATATATGTTCTCCTTAGAAGCTTATGGAGTTCGTACTATTATGTAAGCACCGGTAACATACGACACTCAAGTGGAGCAAATTATGCATAATTTAACATGTAGTTTATTCGTGATTCATAATTTATTTTTGTGACCATGGGGTCTGTAAAAGTGTAAACGATTCGAAACATTAAAAATAAGTAAATTGAAAATATAATAAATGTCGCTTGACATAATTCATTACTTCCATCGCGTGGAAATCCATACATCAACGCAACGCAACATACCCGCTCATGGCTTGCGTACACACATAAGTATCGGCTATAAACTACCCTCTTAATAGACTATAAAGATCGAACATCGAATGTTGACGTACCCCGTTGGGAAGTGCAATGTACGTGGTTTTTAAGGTGTCGCATACTCTGAGGTCTTGGGTTCACCCCGGTGGGGCAAATCATTGTATGATAAAAACGAGTATCTGTGCCTAAGTTTTGGTTGTTAACAAATATGAATTCAAAATCATACTAATCTATGCATCATCATTATGCATTTCTAGGCGTTAGCCCATAACACAAGCCTTTCAATGCCCATTATAAGGCTAGGCTAATTGGTGTGAAGTGTTGACTCGATCACTACGGTTGTTCTACCGTAATATATAATTCATTTTAAAAGAAAAAGGAATATCGAAACAATTAATGTTTGAAAAAATTTAGTGCAGGTAAGTTGATAAATTGGGAGCTCCATAAATAATTCTTAAATAAATTTAATGGTATCGCATGCCATTCAGAAGCTTGTTTATCTAAATCCAATATATATCAAACTCCAATCTCAAATGCAGTACACTATAAATATGTAAAGAATTCTAAGTTTTCTGCAATTTAAGGACTATCTGCCAGATAAATAGATGATAACATATTTTCTCTTGAAAATAACAAAAGTAAACCAAAAAATTGCACGATCTACCTAATTCTTGAAAGGTTTTGAAGATCATTATCCACTTTATGTTATTTTAGTAAAAATTACTGAAAACTGTTCTTAATATTAAACTTACGCTTTCAAACCTTGCCACGACTGTCTGCAATAAATATACTTCAAACCCTACGCATAGTACATGCACACCTCATGTAAGCTGTGTAAATCTTATAAATAACTAAATCTTTATTTAGTATTAAGTAATACATAAAAATGACTCAGATCTAAGAACTGAAAAACAAAAGAAAAAATTACAATCAATTATAGATTCCAGGATAGCAAATGAATTTCATAAAATCTGGTCTGAACTTCGTAATAGCATAATTTATCACGGCAACCCTGCAACAATATAAAAACTATACCTGAGAATTTCGTTGTAAAAACGTAAACTTCAGAAGTTAATCGGTTTCAACATTTTTGTCATTCCCTGGGGTTGTATCAACCACTCCATACTTCTAACAATAATTATGAATTCACTGCAATCGACCTTGCAATCACTTCCCGCCAATCTAATAATTAAAGCTTGGGAAGTGTAGTTGAACACGGCTCTACCACTTCACTTCAATCTCCACTCCAATCAAATAGATATGCTAGCACTACGCTTTTCATCATATTCTACAAAGAGTGACAGCTCTGTCTTAAACAGCTATGAGATGGCTGGGAAACGCTGGCTTGCGTGGTTGCATTGGTCTAGGAACAAGAATGTTTATCGGAATAATCCCGCAAGTTGTGGACTCGGCTCTGAGCTAACAAGATTTTTGAGAGACTTATTTTTAACACGTGACTTATCTCAAAATAAGTACCATTATTTTAAATAGCATACCATTAGTTTTTACAAGATATACCAATGGATGATAAGTCTAATTACCTAACCTCACCTGTCTTGGCAAACACATATATTGAAGTCGATTGTTTTTCAAGAATCAGTCCGTAACCCACTATTCTGTGTCTATAAGTTAACTTATTTCCTTTTCTTCAATAATGTACTCGTTACATCATAATGATCTGTTTTAAATACCTCGTCATACTAGTTGTTATTCTGAACGTCATACAGCAATTACCTATGCTGCGTATTATTTGGTTCAGCATGTGGTACACATGACTTGTTCCTACTTCAAATTATCCCGAATCATTGTATTTGTAACGACAAAGATTAGTTTTAACCTTGTTTTGGTTCAAAACAGGTGAAAGTAGTTAAAGACACTTGTACTGAATAATGGTAATCGTAAGTGGGACCCTGATTTTTGGTTTTGTAACTCGGTATCGAACAACTTTACATCTTTTTCTCGCATTTGTACGCCTTATTTGTGATATACAAAGATACAAATGAATGCTACACAAGGAAGCGTCCGGTCATTAACAAAGCAAATATATATATATATATACTTCACGAGTTTTAAGCAAAGGAATATAGCGATCAGCTTATACATATAGTAAAGCAGCTTCGTAAGCGGGAAGAAATTAAAGGCGTGATTAAAATAATATTATTTGATCCATTTTTAAGCTTACTCGTTTCTTTACACAGTTTCATATAATCTGATAAATGTTAATATTTAAATTTATCATAAATTGTCACATTGGCGTATATATCTATGTACGTGGCGATCACCAGGCGATAACAAACAGGTCTCAATATAAAGCTTTCAGTGACGGTCAAGTAGTTTAATAGCAGCATTTTACCTGAAATAAAATGCATATTAAAATACTTACCTCACTGAAAGCTTTCACTTTAAATTCTGCCTGGTGAAATAATTGAGCCAATGAGTTAATATGGCGCTGTCAAAACTTAGGAAAACAAAAATGGCCGCGCCTCTGCCAGGTGTCGCCACTGGACCGGATACAAGGTGAATAAAAGTACGGAAACAGATGGTAATTCGACGGGAAACGGAAGTGCTATCTCAATATAAAGCTTTCAGTGAGGTAAGTATTTTAATATGCATTTTATTTCAGGTAAAATGCTGCTATTCAGTAGCGATTTTAATTGAATATTTTGATTATTTATTTATTTTTTCAAATTGAAACTGAACTTTATTGACTGTGTCCTTTTCCAGACTTTTTATTAATTTATTGTAATTAATAAATTGCATGCAATTAAAAACTAATTTTAAACGATGCCAAAGAAGGATAACTTCTCACGTGCCTACTTAAGTACACGCACTCATTTTTTTTTTATTTGTTTGCAATTCTAGGTTTTACGCTGCAATAACTTCATCTATGTCACTATTAATGTTTTCTTCTAAGGAATTTTCAACAGGTAAGAAATTTTCTTTTTCCAAGGTTTAACGACTATTACTCATAAAGTAAGAAATCTATCTTAACCTCTATCATGAATTTTTCAATGTTTTTCAAGCCAAAACTTTAGCTTTTACAGTGGGGGGACGCCCTACTCCAACAAAATTTAGCACTTTAAAGTTCAATATTTTGCAAACGGATCTCCAAATCTAAAAATACTCTTAAGACCCCCAAGTAATTTTAAAGAACCTATTCAACGATATCCCACACGATGGGGTCGATGATGAAAAAAAAATGTCCCAGATTACATGTAGGGGAGCTAAAAAACGCACTTAAAACTATTTTCAATATTTTATGCGTCGGCGTGATCGATATACATATCTCCACAAAATAACAGCTCTCTAGTGCTAAAAGTCTCCAAGCAAAACCGGGTACGGACAGACGGACATGACGAAACTATAAGGGTTTCTTGTCAGGACTACGGAACACTAAAAAAGATAACTTTTTTCTTTGATGCAACATTGATTTCGAAATGTCAGTCAGCAATATTTTTCCAGCGGTCTGCGGTATTGTGATGTGAGGTTATATTTTTAAACTGAAATAAAGTAATGCATTAAAATAAATAGTTAATGAATTTAGTTGGGTTTGGGTAATATTCAAAGTGGAAGATTTGATTTCTATTTAATAAAAAAGTGTTAAAAGTTGTATAGGTAACTGAGGCTTCTAAATTTCGTAAGTATATTTTTAACATCAAATTTCATTTGTTTTTGCGGCTTTGTCAAATAGACAAAAAGTACTTTTTTTTTAATAATGAAGCGTTACTAAATCTTGGGAAATATATTGCCTCGCTTTTAGGTTCCGACCATATGTTTAACTATACTTAATAGTATTATTAATCTCTTACTTCATTTATAGATTTCTTCTGCCCCAGTATAAAGTGATAGAACTGCTGCTGAAGGGCAGAACGGATATCTATGAATTTATTATGTAGTTTCAAGTGACTTTATAGTTGGCATTGTAGCTGCGCAGAGCTGTCTGGTCTGGTGCTTCATGTTTAAATTATTTATGGTTCGAACTACAATTACCAATTACAATTATTAATATAAACAATTTAAATTAAATGCATATGTAGGTAGGCAGGTATGCCGTTTTACAAGTTACACTTGGAACCTAATGATTTCACAAGAGTTCACACAAATTTCTCATTCCAAGAAACATTTGTTCGTTTATGATTTTTATTTATTTTGAAATTCAATTCTGTCAAGGCTGTCAGAAGTAATTTTATTGTCAGTCCAGCAGAATCGCATAAGAGAAACATAAATTCTTTTAATACTAGTTTGGTAGTTACTACCTACGAACCCATATTGGGGTAGGTGAAATTGTACTTTGTAAATTACCATTTAATTATCTACTAGACTATTGACATGTTTTTAAGTATATGCCATTTAAGCTTATGGTTGGCAAATTATTTATTACTATTAAACCCACTCTACCAATGCCTATGGTAGCCCTTGAAGAAGTTAGCACCATGTTTATTTGAATAAATTTATAATAATTTAGTTTTATAATTGTAAAATTTACGAGTTTCCCATAAGCATTATATTATGCCCATGATGCTGAAGGACTATATCCATAACATAGAGTATAGACTCCTAAACTATAGAGTGCTCTGGAAGCTGTCATGACGCCAAAGCTCTGAATTTATTTTTAGGATTACTTATAACTGATGGACTCCCATAAGCCCCACGACAAAACTACATATTGACACAATGCAGAGTTACAATCTTAGATTAAAACAAAAAGGGTAGCTACGGTACGCTCATACATGCATCAAACAAAAACTGATTCCATGGCAACGAGAATGGGATGGTGAGATCCGAGTCACAGCATTACCGACCCGAACGAAACAGCAAGTTAAGTTTTTATGAAAAAATGTTGTCTAAGGTTACAATACACAAAACTGCTATGCAGATTTATATACATGGCTGTAGAATTATTATCACGATTTGTTCACAGCAATATTGAAACTGATAATTTGACCATGGCAATGTCTTTTAAACACAATAGTATTAAGAGTCTGTTATTACAATAAAATGAAAAAACAAAAGCGGACAAAACTGACAGATTTCTTAATTAAAAAATGAAAAATATACATACATGTTTTATGTGCAATTTTTATTTTGATTTAATATGCTATGTTTCTCTATTAAAATAAGTATTTACCTAAAAAAAGAAGGTTGTTTTACGTTTCACAAAAATGCTTAGTATGATGTACGCTTAGTATGACGTGTTTGTCAATTCCCTTTGATGTCATAATAATCAAATTCTGCTGTAATACAATTTTTTTTAATAAATTTGCAAATAGCAAGACAGAACTGCATTGTTTTTCTTTCTCTACAAATGGCTAAGCTGTATTGTAGTCCTTTTTTGATAACAAAAGGTGAATCAGAAAATAACATTCATGAGAAAGCAACTTTATGAAAACAAAGAAGTGTTTTTATAGATTTACCAATGAAAAGAGTTGCCAAGGAATTTTGAGCCGCGAGGACCATAGCTTTCCTTTTTGTTGTAATTTAAGCTTATAATAAAATAAATACTTATATTTTTTTTTGTGTTAATCTGCAATCAGTAATTTACTATAAATAAATACTTATGATTAATTTTTTCAAGTAATGTTATTTACATTAATTGCATCAAGTGGCATCAAGTGCTCTGCTTTATTTTTAATATTTCTAAGTTAATATTTTGTATTCAATGAGGATCCATCTTTATTCTCATTACTAAAATAATATATTTTTTAAAACACCTACCAGTACAATGTACAATGATTGACTAAATAATAAATTCTAAAAATATGTGCAGAAAAAATATAATCCTAGCAGCACCAGCACTTCTTTCTTTAGTCCTTTCAACACCTAAATGCCCTTTAACTCTCAGACTAGGGTATAGGGGGTATAGGGATTCAGGATATAAAAATGTAGGGGCTGGAGTACCTATTATTAGACATGTCTTTACTGCACCAATTATCTGCACAACTGGACTATAATCACAGGCTGCAGTAAAGTTGGACTCATTTACCAGGCATAGAACAAAACATGTAGAACTTCATTCCGTTATGAAACACATTGATTCAGCACTTGATACACCTTTAGTCTTCACTCTCTGTATAACACTTCATTACACGACCGTCCAGTACGAGCGCCCAACCAAGAATGCCCGCACTCGCCACATGAACTTCACCATCTTGAATCCCCACTACTGCCAGTCAAACGACTTTCTTTTAATAAATAAATCACCAAAATTACTCTTTAAATTAACAAAAGCTGACCTTAACCAAATTTACCAAACCCATCGTACTATCAAAACTATTAAAAACAGCCAGTATTGTATTTTCAGGATAATGTATTCGAGACTGAACAAGTACACGTCAAGCATTAACTACAGACTGGGCATATCTCAACGGTACAGCAGCAGCATATTAAGAAAGAAGGAATCACCCGCCAGGCAGATCGAGCAAGGCAAAGGCGCACATGGATTTGTCTGCTCTGAAGTGGAACATATCAAAGAGTACAACATGACTGCGTACCTCCTCACACATGAGAAAACTCAAACAGAATACCTCCACTTAGAAAGAGATGACTCAAATAACGTTTTTTCGATCGGATTTCGAACAACGCCTCTAGATTCTATGGGTACACCGCACATTTTAGAGCACACAGTCTTGTGCGGGTCAGAGAAGTACCCGGTGCGTGATCCGTTCTTCAAAATGCTCAACAGGTCTTTGGCCACATTCATGAATGCTCTGACAGGACCTGATTTTACGTTCTATCCGTTCTCCTCACAAAACGAAGTGGATTATAGGAACCTGCAAAAAGTATACCTTGACGCGGTGTTCAAACCGAATTTGTCGAGGTTGGATTTCCTGCAGGAAGGCTGGAGGTTGGAACATTCTAAATTAGAAGATAAAACCTCACCTTTGGGCTTCAAAGGAGTCGTATACAATGAAATGAAGGGCGCATTTTCGGAGACGAGCTCTCTCTTCGGTCAGAAATTCATGAACGCCATTTTACCTAAAGGCACTTACGGCTACGTTTCTGGCGGGGACCCGTTACACATTCCAGAGTTGACGCACCAGCATTTGAAAAAGTTCCACGAAACTTACTACCATCCTAGCAACGCGAGAATTTATTCTTATGGCAACTTTCCTTTAGAAGCCAATCTGAAGTTTGTCAACGAAGCTTATTTGAGTAAATACGATTTCTTAGACCCGACAAATACTGTCGTCACACGCCAGGAAAGGTGGAAAGCGCCCAAGAGGGAAAGTATAACTTGCCGAGTAGACCAATACGGCGTGCCTATAGAAAAACAGAACCAAATCGCAATAGGCTTGGTTATGTCTGATATCACGAGTATATATGATACGTTTATGTTGACAGCGTTGGCTGAACTCATGATAATTGGTCCGAACTCCGCTTTCTATAAAAGTCTCATAGAGAAAAACATTTCTGGAGGATACAACTCTTCGACAGGCTATGACAATCAAATAAGAGACACGTTATTCGCTGTAGGTCTGAAAGACGTCGAAAAATGTAACTTTGATCTAGTAGAGAAGATAGCCGATCAGACTATCCAAGAAATATTCGAAAAAGGTTTCGAGAAGTCTCACATTGAAAGCGTTCTGCATGGCTTCGAGCTTTCTATCAAACACCAATCTCCAAAGTTTGGTCTCAACGTACTTTTCAATTTAATGCCGCTTTGGAACCACAACGGTCCCGTTTTGAATGCTTTGAAAGTCAACGAATTACTTGCTAAATTAAAAACTGATTTGATGAATCCAAGCTACGTTAAAGATGCTATCGAAAAGTATTTCATCTTGAATCCCCATAGGCTTGTAATGACCATGCAACCTGATCCGAAATTCGATGACATTTTCAACGAAGCCGAAGCTAAATTGCTGAAATCTAAAGTTAGCACATTGACTGAGAAGGAAAAAGAACAAATATACAAAGATGGATTAGAACTCTCCAAATCGCAGAAGGAAGTGCAAAACTTAGAAGTGCTGCCTTGTTTGAAGATTGACGAAATTACTGTGAATAAAACTGCTCCTCCTCTAAAACACACAGTGGCTGATACCATCCCTCTACAGCTATGCGAAGCGAACACGAATGGTGTTACTTACTTTAAAGGAATATTGGGCACTGAATATCTAAACGAATCTCAGAGACAATTGTTGCCTTTCTTCAACTATATTCTCGACAAATTCGACACCAAGTCCTACAATTACCGAGATTTCGACAAGCACGTGAGTAAAACTACTTCAGGGTTGGGCGTCATCACCCATATAACCGAACATATCGATCAACAAGGCCAATACGAACAAGGCATTGTGATCAGCAGCCACTGCCTCGACGAGAACCTTCCGAAGATGCTTGATATTTGGTCCGAGATATTTAGTAAACCCAACTTCGAGAATAGCGAACGAATGGCAATGCTCCTGAATAATTATTGTTCTTCACTCTCGAACGGCGTAGTGAGCAATGGACACACTTACGCTATGCAAGCCGCTAGATCTCTCATCTCCTCTGTAGACGAATGCAAAGAAAACCTTACAGGTCTCCACCACGTCATGAAAATGCAAGAAGTCCAAAAGACACATGGCATTGAACAGATCCAGTCTTTGGTCGAACAAATCGGCAATTCCATCCTTAAAGGGAACAACTTGAGAGCTGCCATCCATTACTGCAACACAAATAAAGATGTCCATGATTCCGTAAATAATTTCTGCGTTGATTTGTGCAAGGATGACGTGAATAAAGAGCTGAATCGCATCAATTGGACGGAATGTGTACCGATGCCTCAGGATAAACGTGGTATCCACATATCCATGAATATACCCGTCAACTTCTGCTCTAAAGTTGTACCTACCGTACAATATACTAATCCAGACTACGCGAAACTCCGAGTTCTGTCTAGATTCCTGAGCTCCAAATATCTTCATCCTGTAGTCAGAGAACAGAATGGTGCTTACGGGGGTGGAGCAGCATTGACAATGGACGGGACTTTTAATTTCTATTCGTACAGAGATCCTAATTCTAAAGTTACCCTAGACGTTTTTGATAACACCGCGGATTGGATGGTGGAAAACCACAATCTGTTGGATGACCAAAACCTGTTTGAAGCTAAGCTGTCCATTCTGCAGCAAATGGACCAACCCATCGCTGAATACATGAAAGGGGTGGACTTGTTCCTCTACGGTCTCTCTTACGATATATGGAAGACGCAGAGAGAGCGCGTTTTGGCCGTGAAAAAGGAAGATTTGGTGGAAGTTTGCGAAAAGTACTTAACCAAAGAGAAGTGGTCCGGTAAATGCGTCATTGGCGAGGGTTCGCAAGATCTAGAGAATAGTGAAGTGATCTGGCAAAAGATTAGCGGTCCTCAGCAGTGAAAATGTTATCTTCTTTTTGCGAAAAGCAACCCATTTTGATTGCCAGAAAGTCCGATGGACGTTTTAATTTTGGGATTTACATATATTTAGTAAAACATCACTTTGATATCATTAGTGTGGTATTTCACGTCTCATTCTTTAACAGCTTTACTATGTGTTGTCAACAATGATATTACATATTATACTTAGGGACCTTCTTAATAAACAAGGAATAAACTCAGACGAGTTACGACGTTTTTTGTTCATATCACTCAAATGCCATTATTCATTCAATGAATTCAATTCTTCGTTTATTAATAGAGGGATTAAGTTTAGGCCTTATGGATATAATATGTTTTATAAGACATAACTGAGACTTCAAATTATATGTATATTTATTATTTATGTTATATTAGTTACCAAACTTTGTTATATATAACAGAATATTGTGGTTACAATTTCATGTTTCATTGTGCATTTAGTAGTTTTATTTCGAGTTAAAACTTAAAATATGTATAACATATTCATCCTATTCTTTTAACTGTATAAGGCTTTGATTATGCGCCTCGATAAAGCAATCCAAATGAACCACGCAAAGAAAACGGCTCATGTTACGCGAAATGCGTGCGTGACTCCAATGTCAGATTGTATTAAAGCAGTCAATATGTGCGTGTGTAGCGACGAGAATATCTACCATATGTAGTAGATATTTTTTTCGTCGCTTCCGTGCAGTTAATGCGGTAGTACGATGTTTATAATCAAAGGTGTCTAGTCGATTATTGATATGAAAATATCCCGGTAAAACAGTGATGTCGCTATATTAACTATTGCAACAGGAAAATTTGAGAAGACAACTTCAAGTTCCCAGTTTAAGGTCATATTGTGATATTGAAACATATTTTAAGTGATGAGAAACAATTTAACAAAACTTCGTTGTCAAATCGATATCTGCTGTGTGCACAAATATACCTTTAACATAGCAGATTCTGGGTAATGCACAACATATTTTTTTAAGCAACATCCGTTCACCTTTATAATGATAAAGATTCTCATAGCAGTGTATTCCAAAGTTGGTTAGTATACTAGTCATATTGATGCAAACTAATGAACAAATATTTTATATATAGACATCAGAATATAAGTTTGATAATCAAGAAATTGGATCGAATACAGGAACTTCTCTAGGTGATAGTGAAGTAGGACTAGGACGACTTAGATTTTATGATGGCCAATGGTTTAAATGGTGAAGAATCAGAAATGATATGGAAGCATCTAATTAGGGTGCTTTTCCACCAGAGATTTGCTATACAGCTTTGCTGCGAGGATGTGTCAGCTGAGCTACAAAACTATGTGACCGTTTCCACTGATGCTAAGCTATGTAGCGGGGCGAGAAAGATGCAGCTCAAGCTATGCGATGTTTGTCATAGAAAGTAGACATGCTATCGATACATCGCATAGCTTGAGCTGCACATCTTTCTCGCCCCGCTACATAGCTTAGCATCAGTGGAAACGGTCACGTAGTTTTGTAGCTCAGCTGACACATCCTCGCAGCAAAGCTGGTTACTCTTCTATTCATATAGATATACCAATCGCGGCAATCATAGCCCGCATCCATAGCACGCATCCTTCCATATAAAAAATAACATGAAAAAAGAAATGATGTGGTGTCGTGGGACACCAGGTAAGAACGAAGTTCCTTCGGCTAATGTAGAATCGACACAAATTGCAAACTCGCTTGTGTATGCGACTGTCGCGCCTGCGCAGGTCTCATTTAACGGTTTTATTCCACGCACTTTTTTCCACGGATTTTTTCTTACTGTTTTACTATCACATTTTTTTCAGTTCGGTCGCGCAGCAAAATCCCTATCCCCTCCAAGCCTGCCGTGAGGAACTTCGTCGCGCCTGCGCACGTCTCATTTAACGGTTTTATTCCACGCACTTTTTTCCACGGATTCTTTCTTACGGTTTTAGTATCACATTTTTTTCAGTTCGGTCGCGCAGCAAAATCCCTATACCCTCCAAGCCTGCCGTAAGGAACTTCGTTCCAACAAAGCTTAGTTGAATCCGTTTCCACCAGTGCTATGCTATGTGGACCAATGAATTTGATTGGTGGATATCAAACGCATCTACAGCAACGTAGCATCGCACATCTCTGATGGAAAAGCAGCCTTAAGGATGCTAAAACATGGTTCCAAACTAACAACTAAACTTCAATATTAACGCGACACGCACACAGACAAAACAAAATACTTTGACAAGTCAAATACCTGTAAATGAATTCCGCTATCCATTCATTGGGTGAGATAATTTTAAACAGAAATCCCAACCAATCACATGATCGGCCTGATGGTCGCATTTATTACGCCCCGCCCATTTGATCGCAGTTTGCGTGGAACCACTTTTTAACGCAGTTCGTGTTACATATTATTTCTAATTCATTGCCTTTAGCAAACAAAATCTAGTTTACTGCGTTTTTAAGTTATACAGATCTTTTGAGAAATGTATAAATTTTAACACAGAACACGTTTTAATATAAAACATAGCTAAGATTTGTTTTTGTTGTGCAATTTAATGATTCTTTGGGTTAAGAGCGAGATGGTTGTATGTTGAAAAGAATAGCTCATAGTGTTGAACACTTGACAAATGTATTTATTTAATGAAAACTGTATTTTAGAAGTTGAGACTGTTATTATTGCTATTATTAAATGTGATTCCTGATACGAATAGCTTTTCATTTCACGTACAGTTAAAGTTTCCCCACCTCCTAAAATGAGGTCACTAGGTCAGCAACAATTAAATACAACTATAGGTGACTATTTGCGCCGTCAAATAGTAGCATATATTTCTGGGTATGTGGTCAAATATTTACATTCCAAGATCAAATGTGAGAGCTGTCTCAAAGAATTATATGCTGATAACTACGACGATAGTGACCTTGATTTGATAAAAACTAAAAATAAGGGTGGTCTTACTTTCCCATCTAGAGATGTCATAAAAATATGTATACGGACCGAAGGCAGTATTCGTTGTGTTAAATCGCAATCTTTGAATACTCCTAACTTTCGTAAACATAAAATTGTATCGAATACATTAAAATCACTTATTGGACAAGATTGTTTCAAAAAATCGGCCAACCATATGTTTGACCAATCACCTACAGTTAATCATGTTGTATTTCTGATGAAATCGATTGCAGAAAAATATATTGATATTCGTTTTAAGCATTTTGCCACAATACAAAACGATACGGCAACCAACCGACAACAACTAACCAAAACTATTATTTACAGGTAATTGATGTTTTTTAATAAAATTATGTTTGTAATAACATTTTGTCTATTATTTTTAAACTACCTTAAAATTTAAATCTAAAGAAAATATAACTAGAAAAATATCCACGCGGACCAGGCAGCAGACGGGAGCGGGTGCGGGTTCGAGTCCCGTCTGCTGCCTGGTCTGCCTGGATTTTTTTTCATCAAGCAGTTACATGTTTTAAAATAATAAAAATTATAGCTTAAAAATTTTAAAATCGGTCAAATTTGTTAACGTTTATTTTATTTATTTACCTACATATTTCATTTTTTTGAAGCTTCAAGTAATAATCATAATCATAATCAAAATCATTTATTCAGTTTAGGCTGTTACAAGCACATATGAATGTCTAGAAGCTACGCCATCGGTTCGTAAATCTACGGCGGGAGACCTTGTACTGAGAAGAACCGGCAAGAAACTCAGCAAGGGCTGTTTTTTTTCTCCCTGTTTTATTATTTACAGAGTCGTCAAATTGAAAAATGACTTCAGAGGTGATTCATGAAGTCACTTTTCATTACATAATTATTAAATATACATTAATTGTTTACCTGCATTTTGATTGCTGTGTCATACAGTATAAATACAAATAGTGTTATTTATATTAAGTGTGACTAAACATTAACTTCAATATTAAGGAAGTTAGGGCAGACTCATCTCCGCTGGCAGCACCCGTTCACGAGCATGACGCATGAACCAGCCATCGCTTCGCTCAACCATATTTTAGGGAACGTAACGACCCGCCTCACACGACACCGCCGAAGAGACTATTATGAGAGCATGACTACCCATAACTACCCATACTAACTACAACATATTTACTCAAATTAAGGTCATTTACCAGTAAGACACAACAAACAATTACAAAACAAAGCAAAGGAGAAATCACGACCACGCCGTTTTGTCAATCAAATATTCTTAAACAGTCTGGTAATCTTACTTAAGTTATTAACTTTATATACAGCTTTCAGTTTAATTATAGTATTGTCAACACATAATTCATAATTTAAATCATATAGAAATACCCGTTGGAATGGTTGGAACAGTTCATACCCAAGCATTTTTGTCTGTAATATAATCAGACACTTTATAATATGCTTTCTTAACTAGTGATTTTTTAATGGTCGATTTAAATTTAGTCATGCTTAACTCTTGAATATTGCTTGGAACTTTATTGTAAAAGCGAACACTAAGACCTCTAAACGAATTATTGATTTTGTGGAGCCTAGTAGCAGGTAAAGTTAAGTTATTTTTGATATTGATTTGATATATTCGATTTTGAGTACGTCCCATTATATACAAAACTTTTGAACATCTAGTGTTAGATAGCTGAACTACTACGTAGTAACATAAATATCAACCTAAGCTAGTTTTGCTATTAGCCGATAGATGAAATATTGAGAAGTGGGCGGAGCTGAACACCCCGCATCCCGCAAATTATCACGCGTCGTTTCTTGAGAAAATTTAATCACCACACCTCCTCTTTGTTTTTCCTCCGTGGGCTATAGGCTATAGTCACGGTAATATTATCTATACAGTATTGTAACTCGGCCCTGTCCTTGAAATAACTGCCTACGAGCAAGCGAGGCGTGGACACGCGGTAGGGCTGCCCGCCTACAGTATTTTAATTTCATCTACATAATTGAGTTTCTTTCTAGTTTTCTGATTGTAAACGACGTCACACAGCTAACCGTGCTTTTTAATCAAAACGTGTATATACAAATAAAAATCGAAATAACTTAATATTAAAAACAAATTACGTACTAGTAGATAGGTATATAAAAAAATATTCTATAGTCTTACCTTTCCAATATTTCAGGAAATTTAAAAAATGATATCTCTGGGTGCGTTATTGAAGAGTTCAAGCAACCAGAAACAGCACAATATCGTCGTTTGATCTTTGCCATATTAAATTATGTAGGTATCTACTTAATTCAATCAAATATTTACAATACAAATCGCACGTTTAAGCACGCTTAACTGCATAAA